GCGTCCCCTGAAGGTCTGCAACGTCCCGACCCCAGGAGGCATGCACATTCCGAGGCGGTTGGCATGCGTGACAGAGCGTCCGCGTTGGTATGGCGAACGCCCTTACGGTAAGTGGTCTCAAAATCAAAATCCTGGAGAACCTCCAACCATCGAGACAACTGTCCCGATGGTTGTTGAACTCGCAGGGCATACTGTAGTGCCGCATGATCTGTGCGGACGGTGAAATGCCGACCGTACAGATATGGGCGGTATTGTTGGATGAAAAAAACAATTGCCAACAGTTCTCTACGGGTAACACAATATCTCTGCTCCGCAGGAGACAACACCCGACTACCGTATGCGACCACCCGTTCAACGCCATCAACCACCTGGGAAAGCACACCCCCAATACCCGTGTTGCTCGCATCGGTGTCGAGCAAAAAGGGTTTCGAAAAATCAGGGTAGATCAAGGGAGGGGCTTTCACCAGGGCGTCCCGAAGGGAGCGGAACGCAGCCTCCTCCTCTTGACCCCAGTGGAAACGAACCCCTTTAGATGTTAGAGCGTGCAGGGGTTTTGCAATTGTTGCAAAATCAGCAACAAACCGTCGATAATACGACGCGAACCCAATAAAACTCCTGACCTCTCCCACTGTAGTGGGAGTCGGCCAGGAGCTGACACACTGCGTTTTGGCGGGATCGGTAGCAATACCCGAGCGTCCCACGATGTGCCCCAAATAACGCACCGAATCACGCAACAAATGGCATTTTTGGGGCTTAAATTTCAAATTAGCAGCCCGCATCTTTAGGAAAACTGCCCGCAACCTCTGGAGATGGTCATCAAAAGTTTTACTAAAGACGATAACATCATCCAAATAAATGAGGCACGACTCCCATTGCAGTCCAGCCAAAACCAATTCCATCAAACGCTGGAAAGTTGCCGGCGCTGAGTGCAAGCCCATCGGCAACCTGTTGAATTGAAACAAGCCGTGCGGTGTACGAAAAGCAGTTTTAGGCTTAGACTCATCATCCAGAGGAAGCTGCCAGAATCCCGAAAGTAAATCGAGTGTGGAAAAGAATCGCGCTCCCGCCAAAGCGTCAAGCGATTCATCCATCCGAGGGAGCGGGTATGCGTCGGCAACCGAAATTTTATTAAGACGCCGGAAGTCAACGCAAAACCGCAACGAACCGTCCTGCTTTTTAACCAGGACGATCGGCGCTCCCCAAGGGCTGGTGGAAGGAGAAATGATGTCCGCGGCTAACATGTCATCAACAGCCGATTTGACATGTTCCTTTTCGGCGGGACTCAACCGAAACGGATTTTGGCGAATTGGCGCGCTGTCACCCGTGTCAATATGGTGACGCAGCAAGTGAGTGCAGCCCAAATCATATTTATCTCGACTAAAAACGTCGGAAAATTCTCGCAATAGCGTTTTAAGTTGTTGACGCTCTGAATCGGACAGGTCCGTCGATCCCGCACAAAGCGCCTCGAGCCACCCTTCATCGCTGTCCGAACGTGGTCGCGACGCAGGGACAGTGTTGACGGAATTTACGGCGGGCTCCTCACACGGCACCGGCGTTGCGTGAGCAAGCACGGTCCCCTGTGGGAGCACCACCGTCTGCGAGCCCACGTTTAGGACCGCGATGAAGGGTTCACTATCCCCTCTCACTATGGTCTGGGCCGGTAGTAAATCAGGTCCACTAACCCCGGCCCTAGACGGTCCCAACAGTACCCCTTGCGCCCCGGCACCCTTAACGAGGGGCCGCCGAAGCTTCAAGGGCACCAACATTTGCGTTCCCGGAGGAACGCGTACCGTTCTCTCCACGAACGCCGGCACCGTCGCGAACGCCGTCCGAGTCGCAACTGGTGATGGCAGGAACGCCATGCGTCTGCCCGATGGAAGCTCTATGCACCCCTGGTCGATCAAAATTACAATCGGCATTTTGGCCAGGAAGTCCGTCCCCAGCAGGCACGGAACCGCCAGCGAGGACGAAACAAAAATCGGCCCAGACAATTTAATTTCCCCAATACAAATTTGGGCACGAATTTGTCCGATGATGCCAAGTGAGCCCCCGTTAGCCGCATAGAATGGTACGTTAACAGGCATCAAAGGACGGCTCCGGACAGGGAGAATATTGTAAATTAATTCCGAAATAATAGTCGCCGATGCCCCCGTATCGACCAGGATGCGCACTTCCACCCCGTCGATATATCCTACAACGGCCGACGACCCCGACGATGCGGCAACCACACGATCGGCCAGCACGGACCACTGGCCGGGTTCGATATGGGTACCCGGAGTGGTGCGTGATGGTGCGATGGTGCGTGATACCGGCCCCCCTCTCGTCGCGGTGTTTGAGTGCGTGACGGGTGTGTGTGTGGGCCAAACGTGTGGGGTGCCGCGACTCGCCGGTTTTTGACGGTGGAGCTTGGGATGAGGCCCGTCGTCCCGGTGAGGTGTCGTCCCGCGCTGACGAGGAGAGCGGCACCCCGAGGCGACGTGGCCCCGGACGCCGCAGTTATAACACCGCGGGAGCGATGTCGGAGGTGACGAGTGGTCGGAACGGCCTGACCCGTCCTGGCCCGGCCGTGCACTCGTCGCCTGTTGCCGTCGGTGGTCGACGGCGTAGAGTTCCTCCGTCGGAAGGGTGGCTGCAGCCACCGCACGCCCCGCCGATGCCCTGCTGGCTTTGCGTCGAAGCGACAAGAGGTTTGCGTGGAGGAGCCGCGCCGCCTGGAGCGATGTCATTTCCGCGTCCTCCTGTGCGACGACAGCGATGTCTAGATCGTCGGCCAGGAGGAGTATCTTCTCCGTTACCATAGCGTCGATGCCGTCGTCATCCATCCGGGGGAAGGCCGACTTGGCCATCGCCAGGAGGCTCGTTCGGTACGCTAGGGGCGACTCCTTCTCTCCCCGCTTGCGGTCGTAGAACTCTTGTCTGCATTCCGCCGACGGTCCGTAGACCCCTCCCAGCAGCTGCAGCGCCATCGGTAACGTGGAGCGCCTTTCCTTGGGTGCCGATGTTAGGGCGGCAAGCGCGTCGCCGTCCAGGAGCGCCGGCAGGGCGCTGAGAGCTTCTTCGTCCGTCCATTTAGCCATCTCCTGGTGGGCGAGGAAGCGTCTTTGAAAGCCGCTCCAGTCGCCCTCTGCGCCCACGAATTCTTTAAGCGGGGGCAGCCTTTGGTGTAGCGCAGCGGCTGCCGTGGAGTCCCGTGGACTGCTGCCTCCCCGACTCGGCTGCGTCTCGGCGCGAATGGCAGATGGCATCGCCTGTCGCAGCTTTGATGACGCGCCCTCCTCCGTCGTTGATGCAGCAGCCCCAGCGCGGCCGATGTCGGACCCCAGGTTGAGGTTGGCCACGCCCCTAGCGGTCGCTGCGTCGATGGCGGGAATTTCAAAATTTAAATCTTCAGAAATGGCGGGGAAGACGCTCCACACGCCGGTTCCTCTCGCCCCGCGGTGGACCACCAGCCGCCAGCCGTGTGATGTCCCCCAGCGCAGCGGCAGCGGCGTAGAGCAGTTCCGCCAGCCTCTCATGAGCCAGCCTCAGGTCGTCTCCCCGCTGCTCCTCTTCATGGCGATGCTCCGGTAAGCCCGCATCCGGCCCCGGCTGCACGTCGTCTAGTAGAGCCATCTCGGGCTCGGCAATTTCGGCGGCGTCCTCCGCCCGCTGTTCCCTGGCTCGAGCTGTTTGGCGCGTGTCCATGTTCTTGGTACTTCTGACGCCAGATGAAGTGTTGTTGAAGACGCGTGGACAACGGGGTAAGGCACACGTATTTATTTACACAAAGGGCTTACAGTACTAGAGGGATGTATCGGCCCCCTCACCCGTACAACTGGGAATTCACCCCTAGCTAGCCTTCCTAGCTGAGTCCTCCGCTAACGGGCTAGGGGAGGCTGTCTGGCCCGACACTGGTTAGTCGGGCTACGGTACCCGGAATCCCAGAGGTCTGACTCTGGTTCCGGGACCACGCCACTGGCTCCAGCCTGCACTGCACTTACAAGGGCGGCGTCCCAGGGGGAGTCCAGGGCCTATCTGGCTGGTCTTCTCTCTTCTCTTAACTACTCTAAGACTGAGCCCCGAGCTCTCTGGCTCAACCCTTTTTATACCCCGTTAGAGGATCGAAACCCCCCTCACGCCGTCCAGTACGGACGTCGTTGCGGGCACCACCCCGTGTGCTCACGGAGACCCCGCCCACTGTGTCTGTTTTCCATTAGCCCCTATGTAAACAGCCCTACACAAACAGACCCTCTGTAACAGCCCTACACATAGAAGTACAGTACAACGACGTGTTTTTCATCATCGCTCCGCATTCGTCACCGACATCGCGATGGAGCCCCAAATCATCGTCGCTGTGCAATCGCCGACAATATCGTCGTTAGCCTCATCACACTCATCGCCGTGATCACTAACTGCAAGTGTGGGAGTGAGTGAGTATAAAAGTGTGAGTGAGTGTGTGTGAGTGTATGAATGTGTGAGTGTGAGAAGGTGAGTGAGTGTGTGTGAGTATGAATGTGAGAGTGAGTGTGAGTCTGTGAGTGTGACAGGGTGAGTGAGTGTGAGTGTGTGTGAGTGTGTGTGAGTGTATGAATGTGAGAGTGAGTGTGAGTGAGTGAGTGTGAGTCTGTGAGTGTGAGAGGGTGAGTGAGTGAGTGAGTGTGAGAGTGAGTGTGTGTGAGTGTATGAATGTGAGAGTGATTGTGAGTGTGAGAGGATGAGTGAGTGAGTGTATGTGAGAGTGAATGTGAGAGTGTATGAGTGTGAGAGTGAGTGAGTGTGAGAGTGTATGAGAGTGAGTGTGAGTCTGTGAGTGGGTGAGTGAGGGAGTGTGAGAGTGAGTCTGTGAGTGGGTGATTGAGTGAATGAGTGTGAGAGTGAATGTGAGAGTGTATGAGTGTGAGAGTGAGTGAGTGTGAGAGTGAATGTGAGAGTGTATGAGTGTGAGAGTGAGTGAGTGTGAGAGTGAATGTGAGAGTGTACGAGTGTGAGTGAGTGTGTGTGTGGTGCAGTGAGTGACTCACCCCCGATAATAGCCGCTCTCGTGTTGTTCCCCTTCGACACGCGCTCCCCATCGCCCGCTCCGTTGATTCCATCTGCAACAGCAACAGCAGACGGAAGGATGCACAAGCGCTGTTAGCGAGCACCTATTAAGGCCGTCTCGTCGGCATCGACCTTCGCGATCGCACCACGCCCGGTACGTATTTAAGGCCGAGTCGACCTACGGGAGGTCCTGGACAAGTTCATATATCGTATGTCACCGATGTTAGTCGTGACTTGGAATCGAACTTAGGTGGCTGGCTTCGTCAATTACTTTTTACGGCCGTCCCCACCCCCTGTTGCACACACACACACTCAGACACACATTCAATCAAAGTACAAAGATAAAGATCCCCCGTATAGCCTTAACAGACTGTTGGGTCAAGTGCTGTTAGCGAGCACCGATGAAGGCCGGTACGGCACACGAGGGGGTGGGTGCCCAACACACCCAGACACACACCCAGACACACACTCAGACACACAGACACACACGAGATTTAGCAAGGCGGCACAGTGCGAACAAGGCAACCAGCAACAACAAAAACAACCAAACACAATATACCGTAGGCGATTTTCGAATCGAATTACAAGCTGGAGTCACAGCGCTTTGACCCAATAATGCCGATGTGTAATTTCGGGGCTCGGGATTTTTGGGGTCCTCAGACTTGGAGCTCTCTGTCTCTCTCTCTCTGCCTGAAGAACCTGGCGACTGAACGCTGAGATTCTCCCATTTCGAAAGAAACTTAAAACATGCTTACTGCCTCGGATATGTTCCATAAACTCGAGACGTTCTGTTTCTCTTTTGTTTTTCTGTACGGCGCTCTGAAGCCCTCCGTTGGGTCTGCTGCACATTGTAAAAACTTAACTCGTAACAATAATAGTCCATGGGAGGTTTTTTGGGGGGGTTACATCGTGTAAATATGTATGGCTGATATTGGTCGCGAAAGCCTACGTGTTGAACCAAAAATAATCCTGTAATTATAATAATGACAAATGCGTAAAGGAGGGTACTAATTCTTCAGGAAGTGCTGAATGATTTCTTAACATTACGGCTGTGTTTTTTCTTTTTTACAAATCCGTGCGTCTTGCGTGAAACTGCATTCACATCACGCAATCCTCCGACCGTGATACCTGCTGCCGTATATATTTGGGAGTTTGCGTCTCGCTCTCTCTCCCCCGTGGTCGCGTGGATTTTCTCCGGGTCCTCTGGTTTCCCCCCCTCCGCATTCAGAATCGACTTCACGCGTTCCGAGTATTCGGCCGCTCGAAATTGCCACGCGGTGATGATAAGCCACACTTCGTGGAGAGCTCTCGTTTGTGATGGACAAGTCGCTTCTGAAACAAAGCTCCACACAGCTCCGCCGGACTTCCTTACCTGGTCAAATAAAAATAAAATTAAAACAAATAAAATAAATTTCTCACGACGTTTCGGCCACAACAGCTTGGCAGCGTATTTAAGCTGGGTGGGAGGTCTTTCCGACAGCTGTTTTTTCACCTGAGGACGGCTGCTTGTGTTGTGGCCAAAACGTCGTGAGAATTTTATGTTAAATTTTTATTATTTTATTATTTCTTCACCGAAAGAACCAATAAGATGAATCCCTGCAGTCACGAAAGAAGCTTTAAATCGAAATATAATTTTTTCAAAAATAGTTAAGTGGTCGCTTTGATATCCTCTCCTCCGAGCCACGCGTTCCCCTTCCTGCCTCCCAATGGAATCCCCCACGCGCTTCGTTCACCGGCAAGCTCGACGCCGCGAGTCTCCCGCCGCCGGCGCCGACTCACCGAGGCCGTGCGCCCACGGCTGGGTGCTGCTGGAGGCCGGGGGCACGGTGAGGGGCACGGCGCCGCAGCCCGACTGCAGAAGGCGCCCCCGCACGGTGACCCAGGGCGGCGGGGTCGAGCGCAGGGCCGCCTTGAGCGGCGCCGCGCCGTTGAACTCGACGCGCGACAGGCAACCGCTGAACCCCGGCGAGTTCGCGCGCAGCACCTCCGCGTCCACGCCGCCCGAGTCTGGCGGCACGCAGGCGGACGGATGGATGGATGGAAGGTTAGATGGACAGATGAACGGATGGATGGATGGAAGGTTAGATGGACAGATGAACGGATGGATGGATGGGTGGAAGGTTAGATGGACAGATGAACGGACAGATGGATGGATGGATGGAAGGTTAGATGGACAGATGAACGGACGGATGGATGGATGGAAGGTTAGATGGACAGATGAACGGACGGATGTATGGATGGAAGGTTAGATGGACGGACGGATGGATGGATGGAAGGTTAGATGGACAGATGGACGGACGGATGGATGGAAGGTTAGATGGACAGATAAACGGACGAATGGATGGACGAATAGATGGACAGATGAACGGACAGATGGACAGACGGACAAATAGACATACGAATCAGAACATGTATTTATACTGGAGGAATCCTATGAGCTATAAAGCTCCTTTTCACCGATGTCCAGTACGATGGACGGATCGTCAAATCAACAGATGCGTAGACGAACAGACGGATGAACGGACGGGCAGACAAATTGAAAGACGACAAGCGCCCAAGGCTCACTTGAGCATAGAGACAACAACTTCATTTGGGGGCTGATGGCCTCCATCTGAAATCTAGCCGTGAACAAAACGACTCGATGGTAGCACCACCTCCACCACCTCCACCACCACCGCCACCACCGCCACCACCACCACAACAAGCGCGACGATCCGACTCGCATGACTCCAGGCTCACCAAAGCTCTCATCATCTAAGCGATCAGACGACCACCACCACCACAGCGACCGCGGCGTCGGTGAACGTGTGGGAGAGGACACGGAAACACCCAGGAGGTGGATCATCGACAACTTCCACACACACACAAATAAAACACCGGCAGGGCGCGCTCGGAGGAAGAAAAAAACAAATCTCGGCGCGCGAATTCCACGACAGGTTGAGAAGGCCGCCGCGCTAGATCAAGAGCTGTCCGCCGTGAGGGTCAAAGAGCGACTCGCTGGGGCCTTCGCTCCAGCAGGGGCTGCCCTGGTTGGCACCCGCCACACCCAACGAGCAGTGTCTACGACTAGCCACGTGCCAACCGACTCTGCTCTGCCAGCGGCCAGGCTAATGTTGTTCGCTAGAGCTCAATTAAGCCCCACGCGCGCGCACGCGTGCGTTCAATTTGCTCAGCAGTGCGCCGACGTCTCCCATCGCCGACTGCGCGGCGCGATGTGGTGCGATGTGGTGCGGCCTTCAGGCCGTGCGGACCCGCTGGGGGGACTAAGCGGTGTCGGCGAGAGCCCATTCAAGGCACCGCACGGCACACACCGAGAGAGGGCGACGCGTCCAGCACGACGCTCAGCCTCTGTGTCTCGAGTTGAATTGCGTGCGGACAAACACAAAAATAAACAAAGATCCCCCCCCCCCGTGTAGCCTTTGTTTAACACGGACTGTTGGGGCAAGGGCTGTTCGCGAGCGCCTATTAAGGCCGGCACGGCACACGGGGGGGGGGGGCGGTGGTGGCGAAGCCAGCGGCTTGGTCATGTCCTGGCCACCCACTGGTGCTTGTCATACCGTAGCAGGGCCCTCGGAATTGTAGGCTGAGTAGACCTACAGGCAGGCCAGGCCAGGTTCCACTTGAGACACTCATTGCCACCGATGACAGTGTATTTAGGGATAATGATGCTGTCCTACAAGTGAAGCTAAGGCAATGAAATGTGCTGTTTTAGTAAAAATTTGATAAATGGTTTGGATGAGTGCGCGTGTGTCTGCGCGCGTGTAAGTGACCGGGAGAGCGGTGGCACAGCGGTTAGCACACTCCGCTACTCATCCGGCCATCTGATTTCGATTCCCACCCACGCCTATCATGGGCAGCGATTATCCGAATCGGTCGCGGGTCTTCCCCTACGTCGACTCGGCCTCAAATGTGTACCCTGTACACTGTGCGCTCGCTGTCGGCAATTGCCCCCAAACAGAACTGCTAAAGGCTTACACGGGGGGTGGTAGGGGGGAGGAGGCGTGTGTGTGTGTGTGTATAAAATACTGTGCATGTCTCTAATGGGCAAGAGATTTGCGCGAGTGGCCAAGGATACTGATGAGTATTCCGGTGTAAAAAAACAACAACTCCAAAAAACGATTAGCGCGAAAAGAAAGAACCCCTGGCATCGTAGGATAATCGTACAGCCCGCGTGTGTAAGACAATCGCGGCGCTCTCGTCTCTCTCCTCAACTCTCTCCTTCTCCTGCCGAGTGCTTGGGCCGATGCCCACATCTGTCTTTTTTTAATTGATTGAATATTTTATTTGTTAGTTCACAAATGAATGCAATCTATAGCATATATATAATAAAACATTATTTACATCAAAAACAACAACCAGAAATTGGAGTTAACTGCTTGTTTTCATGAATTATAGTTAAAAAAAACAAAACTAGAATGTGTTGTTCTGAAAAAAAAGAAAAGCCCAAATTTGGTTACCAGTTTTAACCGATTCAACAATGAACAAGAGAGCGGCTTGTAGTTGCCCTGCTGAAAGTGAATATTGCCGCTACCACCTTTGAGTTTTCCCTCCATCACCGTCGTTTGCACCCGGTTCAGAGTTATAGATGCAGTCATTAAAGAACTGCCAATCTCTCATCCAATCGCGGGATCCAAGCAGCAATTTTCATTTCCCCCAGAACACACAAAAAAAAACATTGATTTCAAAAGCCGTTTAATTGGCCGTCGTTAATTAACAGAACGCTTCCACGCCCGGGTGATGGAGAGAGAGAGAGAGAGAAGGGCGATCGAGACGGGAGAGATAATGTTTGAGAGAGAGAGGAGAGAGTGCGAAAGAGAGAGGGGGGTGGGAGGAGGGGGAGATATCACACATCAATTTACGCGCTCCGCACTTCTCCGCACTGCTCTCTCAGCAACGCATGCCACTCACTACTCCCCCTTGCTCCCTCTCCTCCCTAACTCCCTCCTCTCTCTCTCCCTCCACTCCCCACCCCCCCCACACACTCTACCATCCCACATCGAGCCATGTTCAACTCTAAATGGGGGCGTTAAGAGCCCCGTACCTAACAGCCCCTGCGAGACCAATTTGTGATCTTGTTGGTGTGAGAGGGAGCTCGGGGAGACATCTCGGTTGTGGCATGGCCAGATGGAGGAGGGGGGGGGGGGCGGAGGAGTGGAGAGGAGGAGGGGAGGGGAGGAGACGGTAGCGATACTGAGCACTTCTTATCCACTGCTTCCGATTAGTTCTCCGATCTTTTACTTTCGGGCTTCGGGTGGTTTTAGTTGCGGCGCTCTTATCAAGGCGTCTGAAGAAGGCTCCGGCGGTGAAGCGTCGGACATACCCCGAAATGCGGCGCCGAGGATGCGTGCGGGCGAACATAGCAGGCGGATCGCCGCGGAGAATTTCCTGCCACGTGTTTTGTCGCTGATCGGGAGACACCGCGCGAGAGGCTCTCTCTTCGTCGCGTCGGATCGCGCAGAGATTTTTTTATATTTTTTTGCATCCCTCTTCATTCGAGACCGAAACAGGAGGTAGGATTTCGATTTAAAGCTTTCGTGACTGCAGGGATTCATATTCTTGGAGAAGTCAATGTAATGTGAGCCCACTGAACAACTGCCAAATCGCTGTCCGTGGTGCTGACGTTAAGAAGAAACCGCCACTTTTTATCAAAATTTCTTGCTGTGGATCTCACACCTGATGACGATTGCTTGTGTTGCAGTGGAAACGTCGTGAGAATGTTATTGTTTTATATTTTTATTATTTTATTGTTTCCCTTCTACGTGACTTTATCGAAAGAACCAATAACAGGAGGTAGGATGTCTCCGCAACTCTGTGGATGCCGGCCTGGCGATGCCGCCTTGTAAGTACCGGCGAAACATCACGGTGTCGACCTGTACATGTTGCAGTGGGTTTACTCTCCCAACACACAACCCGTTGTGCGCTGTACCAGGAGCAAAATCGGCCACGTGTTGTTTACGTGGCAAAACACCTCACTATACTCTTTGGTTCTTTCGGTAAAGCCACGTAGGTAGAATTTAAATAAAACAGATCACGACGTTTCGATCGCAACACAAGCGGTCATCATCAGGCGATCGAAACGTCGTGATTTGTTTCATTTTATATCTACCCACGTGACTTTACCGAAAGATCCAAACAGTATGGATTCCTGCAGTCACGAAAACTTCAAATCAAGATTGAATTCCTTACTAGTTGGCTGTGCCGGGTGGTGGCGGGTTCAACGGCACAACATTTATAATTTAACATTGGCCGCGAAAGCCGACTGCTGCTATACTGCTACTTGTTAAACTGGAGACACCGAAACATTCGTGACAAGATCCGCAGGTGCGATGCTGCGCGCGTGCTGTTTTAGCCCTCCCCGGAGTCTCAGGTATCTTTGCCAGGAGGGTCCTGCCAAGTTTTTTTTCGCAGAAAGGGGGTCTATGATTATGCAGCTGCTGCTGCTGCCGTGCGTGATCCCAATCGAGTGATTTGCAGGCACTTTTTTTTATATTTTGCACTGTAGATGTGTGTGGGGTGTGTTTTTGTTGAGCTCTGGGGAGGTGATCGGAGAGCCCGGAGGAAGCCCACGCAGAGCAGGAGGTGGAGACAGAGAGAGAACACACAAACTACACACACAGAGAGAGAACACACAAACTCCACACACACACATAGAGAACACACAAACTCCACACACACAGAGAGAGAGAACACACAAACTCCACACAGAGAGAGAGAGAGAACACACAAACTACACACACAGAGAGGCACCCGTATCACGAGTCGAACACAGGCACCCTTCTCGCTGCGCGGTGCGAGTGCCACCACAGAATCAGAATCTTTATTGAGACCGGAGGAGGAATCCGATGAGCTATGAAGCTCTTTCTTCACACGTGTCCGGGATGGGTGGGTGGGGGTGGGGGGGGTGAGCGAGTGTCAACCACCGTGCCCGCATCGCCCTGCCCGCTGAATAACTTGCCGGGGTGTTGTTGTTGTTGTTTTTGTTGTTGTTGTGTCGTTACTTGCCATAGAGGGGTGCACTCCGCAACCCCACGTGGTCGATTCAATCTCCCGGCGCGGCAGGCGAACAACCCAACGGTGCTAGATTCTTCAATTCCCCCCCACCCGCCCCCACCCAACCCCGCCCACCAACCTCCCCCCATCCACCCCTTACCCCCCCCACCATCCTACCCCCCACCCAACCCCACCCAACACCGCCCACCAACCCTCCCACCCAACCCCACCCACCAACCCCACACCCCCCCCATCCACCACCCATGTCGGTGGCGACCCGGGCCACGACCTGCCGACTCACCTGGGACGCGCCCGAGGTAGAGCTCGCGGGGAGAGGTCATCTGGATCGGCGCGACGACGGCCAGGACGTGCCTCACCGCAGGGTAGTGATCCAACTTGGACACACACACGCGCACACACGCGCACACACACACAAACACACGCGCACACACGCACACACACGCACGCGCACAAACACGCGCGCACGCAGAAGAGACAAAGATCAAAGATCCACCCCCGCCCCACCACCACTCTCCCCCGTGTAGTAGCTACTACTAGTAGTAGCTACTACACGTGTAGTAGTAGCTACTACTAGTAGTAGCTACTACTACACGTGTAGTAGCTACTACTACACGTGTAGTAGTAGTAGCTACTACTACACGTGTAGTAGTAGTAGCTACGAACGAGACGTTCGTGCAGGAAGCCGTTCGCGGCCGCGACGACTCTGGAGGTCACAGCGAGTTGAGAACCACGCCCTGAATCCATGCACCCTTCTCGACCAATACGGACACAAAGCCACAGATCCCCCGTGTAGCGTGAACAGCACCTATGAATGCGGGCACGGTGGCACACGAGGGGGTGGGTGGGGAGGGGAGGGCGGGGAGGGAGGGGTAGGCGGGGAGGGTGGGGAGGGAGGGGGGGAGGGTGGGGAGGGAGGGGGGGAGTGAGGGGGAGGAGGGGAGGGGGAGAGCAGCCTCGCAGCATTTCAGACACCACTCTCCACTGCCGCTAAACACGGCCAGGAACAGCTCCCAGCTGTGCCACTCTCCAGCGCATAATACGAACAATTACAATAATGTTCAGGCAAATTATCTCTTTCCTTGAGCTCTCCGTGCTACCCAAGAAGGTGGGGGGAGGGGGGGGGGCTTCCATGGCTCAAGCTCAACTTCACTTCGCTCTCCCCCACACCCGGCTCGCATCACCACCACACTCGCACTCGAGGGCCTCGAAGCCTGCCAGGAGCTGGTGGCCTAGCTGGTGTCCTCTCTGGTGACCTCTCAGCTGGTGGCCTCTGAGCTGGTGACCTCTGAGTTGGTGACCTCTGAGCTGGTGGCCTCTGAGCTGGTGACCTCTGAGCTGGTGACCTCTGAGCTGGTGGCCTCTGAGCTGGTGACCTCTGAACTGGTGACCTCTGAGCTTCTGGTGGCCTCTGAGCTTCCTTTGCCCGTCCCCTCAACCCCCTCCATGCCTCCGTCAGCAGCGTCTTTCGAGCCGACACCACCATCAACGCAACGCACCGTCAAAGCACAATCACGACACCACCACCGCTACCGCCAAAGCGTTTGCCTCCACAATGAACCCCTTTGGTGGTGGTGACGCCACAGCGGTTTCGTTTTACTCTACGTTCTGACGGGGTCAGAAGCGGCTCACGAGTTCCCTTCAACTGTGGGCGTGCCTGGGATGAGACACGATGGGAATGTCGGTGTGTAGGAGGGGGCAGTAGCGGAGCGTGATGAGAGTAAATGAAGTGTGTTTAATGCAGCGCTTTCTCCTAACGACGCCGCGCAAATGCCACGGAATCACCCAGCGGCGTTTCGCTTAACGGCGGAGAGCGCCCCACGGCACCCGCAGCGGCATCGTCATCGTCACCGTCGTCGGGTCTTTAACAATCCACTGCGGGATGACTCTAAATTATCATTGGCGTCGATGGTTGCGGAAGATTAACAACAAGAAGAAGAATACGACGACGCGACGCGTGAGCAGGTGACGTCTCCTCCGTTCCGCTCCGTCGATCCGTCTCGCCACGCATCCCATGAGCCGCACGGTCTTCTGGGAGCGCGTCATCTCAGCGCCGTTGATTCAGGACGAGCGAACTCCGGGCCGGTTTTGACGCGCAAGTGCCTCATCAGCAGGGGTCAGGCTCGCCCTCAATCGATACTGGCAAAACTGTCGATCTTACAGGCGAGGACCCTCCCTATCTACGCTAGTTCGCTGTACAACTTTTGGGTCGTCAGCAGCAACATCAGCAGCAGCAGCAACATCATCATCAGCAACATCTTCATCAGCAACATCAGGAGCAGCAACATCAGCAGCAACATCAGCAACAACATCATCAGCAGCAGCAACATCAGCAGCAACATCAGCAGCAACATCAGCAGCAGCAACATGAGCAACAACATCAGCAACAACATCATCAGCAGCAACAACATCAGCAGCAACATCATCATCAACAACATCAGCAACATCAGCAGCAGCAACATCAGCAACAACATCAGCAACAACATCATCATCAGCAACAACATCAGCAGCAGCAACATCAGCAGCAACATCAGCAGCAGCAACACCATCAGCAACAACATCAGCAGCAGCAACATCAGCAGCAACATCAGCAGCAGCAACACCATCAGCAACAACATCAGCAACAGCAAGAACATCATCAGCAGCAACAGTAGTAGCAGCGTTGCCCTCCCTACTGCAAAAACTTTTGTCAGGACCCTCCTGAAAATGTTCCTTGAGACTCGGTGAGGCGTAAGGGGTGCCACGGTGGCTAGGAAATGTTAACCCTCTCGCCTGGTATACAGGAGGTCGTGGGTTCGATCTCGACCCTGACGCCTGCTGTATATTTGGAGTTTATGTGTTTTCTCTCTCTCTCTCTCTCCCGTGGTCACGTGAATTTTTTCCAAGTCCTCCGGTTTTCACATTGAGAAACACGTGCCTCAGACTATGTGGCTGCTATAAACGTTCACGTGATGAGCCACTTCGTCGAGTTATCATTTGTGGCCAGCTCGCTTCTGAAAAAAAAGCTACACAGCTCATTGGGGCCTTACCTGGTAAAATAAAAAATAAAAGCAGTCCAAGTGTTTCGTTTAAATACACAATGCACCGCTATAAATAATAATCATCGTTCGCGCGTCCTTTCTCATCATCCTGAGCTCCCTGATTCGCGTTGGCCTCGATTGCAATCCCCCACCCCCCCCCCCCCGTCTCTCTGCACACTCCGTCTGCAGATATTTGGCAAACGCGGCGAAGGTATGAATAAAACCTCGGGGCAAGCGGATTGCCGGGCGGAATGAGGGTGCAGGAATCGACGCCAGGATCCTGGCAAGGTGAACAAAGCAGGGTAGAGAGCGAGAGAGAGCGAGATCCTTTAAGGTAATTTTTTTTTGTAAATGACTGTGTATGCATGTACGGCGAACTTCTTTCGCACCGTACGTAGCCAACCGTGCTAATCGGGGGGGGGGGGGGGGGGCAGGACACGGAGGACGCTGACAAACGAGCCGCGTTTATCCGGACACTGCCACGGCGCAGCCTTCGCGACGTGATCCAATCTGCGCTCGCCCGACAACGACAACAACAACAAAATATAAAAGCGTCTCGAAATGCGAGCGGCCCTTCGAAAGAAGCCCCAACGACGCAAATTGGCTGACGCGAGAATATTAAGGAGGAGGGGAGGGGGGGGGAGGAGGGGGAGGAGGGGAGGGGGGAGGAGGGGAGGCGGGAGGGGGGAGTTGGGGAGGAGGGGGAGGAGGGGAGGGGGGGAGGGGGGAGGAGGGGAGGCGGGAGGAGGGGAGGGGGTAGTTGGGGAGGAGGGGGAGGAGGGGAGGGGGGAGGGGAGGAGGGGAGGGGGGAGGAGGGGGAGGAGGGAAGGGGGGAGGAGGGGAGGCGGGAGGAAGGGAGGGGGGAGGTGGGGAGGAGGGGGAGGAGGGGAGGGGGGAGGAGGGGAGGCGGGAGGGGGGGAGGGGGGAGTTGGGGAGGAGGGGGAGGAGGGGAGGGGGGGAGGGGGGAGGAGGGGAGGCGGGAGGAGGGGAGGGGGGAGTTGGGGAGGAGGGGGAGGAGGGGAGGGGGGAGGAGGGGAGGGGGGAGTTGGGGAGGAGGGGGAGGAGGGAAGGGGGGAGGAGGGGAGGCGGGAGGAAGGGAGGGGGGAGTTGGGGAGGAGGGGGAGGAGGGGAGGGGGAGGAGGGGAGGAGGGAGGAGGGGGAGGAGGGGAGGGGGGAGGAGGGGGAGGAGGGGAGGGGGGGAGGAGGGGGAGGAGGGGAGGAGGGGAGGGGAGGAGGGGAGGAGGGGGAAGAGGGGAGGAGGGGAGGGGGAGGAGGGGAGGGGGGGAGGGGAGTTGGGGAGGAGGGGGAGGAGGGAAGGGGGGAGGAGGGGAGGGGGGGAGGGGGAAGGAGGGGAGGAGGCGAGGGGGGAGGTGGGGAGGGGGGGAGGTGGGGAGGTGGGGGGGAGGGGAGGAGGGAGGAGGGGAGGCGGGAGGAGGGGAGGGGGGGAGGTGGGGATGAGGGGAGGAGGGAGGGGATGAGGGGAGGGGGGAGGATGGGAGGGGGCGACACGACCCAGCCGTAGCGCGCGTCGCGGCTTGTCGCAGCGGGGTTCGCGGTTCGAACCCCACGCGGCCGCCCTGGTTATAACTTGCGGGTGTGCCGACAAGTGGCGAGTGCCGCTCTGATTCACGGCGGACGTTCGAGGTCTGGCGCGGTTGCCCGAACAACAGCAGGCCGTTGTGCGCGGCAGTGTCAGGTGGTGAAACTAAAAACAAAACAAACAAAAAACTATCTCCAGGCTCCGAAATTGCAATTGAGGATTCTCCGCGGCAATCCGTCACCCTCCCCCGGCAGACCGATGCCCCGGGGGTCACTCGGAGGCTCTGCCCTGGCCGCGTGGGCTCCCACCTGGCTAAACGATATAAACCTGAGGCTTGGCCGGTAACGATAGGAACGAGAGCTCCCGCACACGCGGCTGATTCCACCGGCCCGTGTCGCCCGCAGGATCAGCGCCTCTGCGGGGCGGACCGCCGAGGGAGTTCCCAGACAGTTGGGGGCAGCTGCCAAGGAGGAGCGACCTCACGGGCGGCGGGGACCTTGAGCAGAGGCGGGTGTCGCGCAGATCGCGGAGGCGGTGAGTGATGAGCGGTGAGTGGTGAGCAGCGAGCGGCGAGTGGTGAGTGGTGAACGGCGAGTGGTGAGTGGTGAGTGGCTAGTCGTGAGTGGTGAGCGGTGATTGGTGAGTGGTGAGTGGTGAGCGGCGAGCGGTGAGTGGTGAGCGGCGAGTGGTGAGTGGTTATCGGTGAGTGGTGAGCGGCGAGCGGTGAGTGGTGAGCGGCGAGCGGCGAGCGGCGAGTGGTGAGTGGTGAGTGGTGATCGGTGAGCGGCGAGTGGTGAGCGATGATCGGTGAGTGGTGAGTGGTGAGCGGCGAGTGGTGAGTGGTGAGCGGTGATCGGTGAGTGGTGAGCGGCGAGTGGTGAGCGGTGAGTGGTGAGCGGTGATCGGCGAGTGGTGAGCGGCGAGTGGTGAGCGGCGAGTAGGTGAGCGGCGAGTGGTGAGCGGCGAGTGGTGAGTGGTGATCGGTGAGTGGTGAGTGGTGAGCGGTGAGCGGCGAGTGGCGAGCGGCGAGTGGTGAGTGGTGAGCGGTGATCGGTGAGTGGTGAGCGGCGAGTGGTGAGTGGTGAGTGGTGAGCGGTGATCGGTGAGTGGTGAGTGGTGAGCGGCGAGCGGTGAGTGGTGAGCGGCGAGTGGTGAGTGGTGATCGGTGAGTGGTGAGCGGCGAGCGGTGAGTGGTGAGCGGCGAGCGGCGAGCGGCGAGTGGTGAGTGGTGAGCGGTGATCGGTGAGCGGCGAGTGGTGAGCGATGATCGGTGAGTGGTGAGTGGTGAGCGGCGAGTGGTGAGTGGTGAGCGGTGATCGGTGAGTGGTGAGCGGCGAGTGGTGAGCGGCGAGTGGTGAGTGGTGATCGGTGAGTGGTGAGCGGCGAGCGGCGAGTGGTGAGCGGCGAGTGGTGAGCGGCGAGTGGTGAGCGGCGAGTGGTGAGCGGCGAGTGGTGAGCGGCGAGTGGTGAGTGGTGATCGGTGAGTGGTGAGTGGTGAGCGGTGAGCGGCGAGTGGCGAGCGGCGAGTGGTGAGTGGTGAGCGGTGATCGGTGAGTGGTGAGTGGTGAGCGGCGAGTGGTGAGTGGTGAGTGGTGAGCGGTGATCAGTGAGTGGTGAGCGGTGATCGGTGATCGGTGAGCGGTGATCGGTGAGTGGTGAGTGGCGAGTGGTGAGTGCGCACGCTCGCAGAAGTGACCTCGAAAATCACAGCCAATGTCTTCTTCGCGCATGTCATCGCTGCCAGAACAACGGCTGCACCCCCCCCCCTTCTCCCCCCCAAACTCCATCCCCCCCTTCTCCCCCCCCCCCCCCACAAACTCCATCCCCCCCTCCTCCCCCCCGCAAAACTCCATCACCCCCCCTCTATCTCGGCGAGCTCGCAGCTCACGTGGTGCGGTTCCAAAGCGGAGCCAGGACAGAGCCCGCAGCATCAGCATCACACAGCGGCCACAACACAGCAAGAGCCCCAACAGAGACAAAGATCCCCGGTACAGCCTTAACAGACTGTTGGGGCAAGTGCTGTTAGCGAGTAGCACCTTGTGAAGGTCGACACGGCACACGAGGGGGAGGGCGGCCAGAACCACACCCGACCGCCTTTGTCTCCCCAGTGGCGATGTTTACACACCGTAAACAAGTACTAATTTGAGGCCGAGTCGACCTAGTGGAGGTAAAAAAAAACGGTTCAAATAATCGTCACCGATGTTGGCCGTGAGCGGGAATCCAACTCGGGCTGCCGGGTTCGTAGCACAGCGCTCTAGCCGCTACAACTCCGCTAGCCGCAACACACACAGCTAACCACAACACACACAGCTAACCACAACACACACAGCCAGCCACAACACACACAGCTAGCCACAACACACAGCTAGCCGTAACACACACAGCTAGCCACAACACACACACACAGCCACAACACACACAGCCATAACACACACAGCTAGCCACAACACACACAGCCACAACACACACAGCCACAACACACACAGCTAGCCATAACACACACACAGCTAGCCACCCTCCGGCCACAACACAGATCATCGACAACAGGGACCGGTCATTATACAGCTATCGCTACAACACCGTTTTTCGGGCCACAACCCAGGCGGCCACAACGCAGTCCGGCTACAAAGCGAAACACAGGCTCCGGCACAACACAGAGGCCACGTGGTGCCCGCCCCCCGCGTGTCTCCTTTGGGATCCGCACCGAGTCACACGAGACGAGTGACACGACTCCAAGTGGCATTTCTTAAAAAAAAAGCCGCATTAATTATCCCCGCTCCTATCAACACCACCCACGAACACCTGCGTCCCCCCCCCCCCCCCACTTCCACCCACCATACACAAGAGCTGTCGCAAATCCACGTTCACCCAACAATCAAATAAAAAATAACCGACGTGCTCTGATGCATCCTTCCCCCCCCCCATCCTTTTGCTGCCGTTCCATCGCCAGTCTCGACCATCGGCCGCCGTTCCTTGCGGCCACGGTGCGTCCTGCCCGCGAGCTTTGCTCGCTCTCGTCAACGGCCGGTGTCGACCTCTGTGATCCACGCGTGCGTGCATCTTTCTTTCGGTGTGGGCGGGTTGGAGGGTGGGCTAGCGGCTGGGTTGGTGGGTGGGTGGGTGGGCAGATTGGTCTGTGGGCGAGCGGGCGAGCGGGTGGGTGGGTGATTGGGCAGGTTGGTGGGTAGGTGAACAGGCAGGGTGGTGGGTGGGCAGGTTGGTCGGTGGGCGAGCGGGTGGGTTGGTTGGTGGGTGGGTTGGTGGGTGGCCGAGCAGGCAAGTTTGTTGATCTGTGGGCGAGCAGGCGAGTGGGTGGGCAGGTTGGTGGGTGGGCGAGCGGGCGGGTTGGTGGGTAGGTAGGTGAGCGGGTGGGTTGGCTGGGTTGATGGGCAGGTTAGTGGGTGGGCGAGCGGGTGGGTGGGCGAGCAGGTAGGATGTTGGGTGGCCGAGCGAGCGAGCAGGCGGGCGGGTGGGTGCGCGTCCTCCCGGCTGTGCGCGTTACCTGCACGTAGAGGTCGGCTCCGAGGCGCGTCACGTTGAGGAGGTGGGGCTGCCCGTTGGTCAGGTTGCGCACGTCCACCGCCACGGAGGTCGTTGACTCCTCCGTGCTCCCGAAACCCAGGCGCACGTGTAAGCTCCCTAACGCATGGCAGTCACGCAAAGGTAAAGATCCCCCTCCTCCCTGCCACCCATCGAGTAGCATCTAACAGGCGGCTGGGGCGAGCGCTGTCAGCGAGTGGCACCTATGAAGACCGGCACGGCGCACGAGGGGGTGGGTGGCCAGCACCACGCCCGGCCGCCTTTGTCTCCCCAGTGGCGATGTTTACACACCGCACCAGGTTTCTCAGATAATCATCACCGGTGTAGGTGGCCGTGAGCGGGAATCGAACTCGGGTGGCCGAGGTTCGCAGCGCTAACCGCGACGCTGCTGCGACACACGCACAGAGAGACGCACGTGAACCATCGCTCAGACGGGCGAGCGGAGCGGAGCGAAGGCCTCACCGTCGCGATGCAGGAGAACGGCGAGGAACTCGTCGGGTGCGGACGAGCTCACGTGAAGGAGCACGGCGGGCGCGTGCGTCGTGCTGAACCCAAAGCGCACGCGGTCCCCCGGCTCCACGCCGAGCCCCGCTCCGGGCCAACTCCCCTCGCCCGGCTCCCCCGACAGCTCCCCGCGCTGATCCCCGCCGGACAGGGGAGGGGGCGGCTGCTGCGGCTGATGCCACCCCAGGGGGTCTGCGGCGAGGCCGGGCTCCGGGAAGGAGTAGCGCACCTGGGTGCCCATCTCAAAGAACGCGCCCACCTCTGCACACCGAAGACAAATGGGGTACACCGCACACACCGCCCCTGTGTAGCCTCCTCCGTATGTTGGGGCAAGTGCAGTGTTAGCCCCCTCTCCCAGCTGCCCCCACCCCTCACCCAGTGCCGGATTAAGCTATTGCGGGGCCTGTAGTATATGTTATGAAAGGGCCCTAAATTTAAAAAAAACGTAAATATTAAAACACGCATTTTTTACTTGCATAGTAAAGTAATTGTCTTTTTTCATTTGCAAATACAGCCAGACAATACGACAAATCGCTAACCTTAAACACCCAGTCGTTCGTAAAAGTCAAAGGCGGTATAGTACTATAGTAATAGAGCAAGTGCAGAATCACTGAACCGGAATTGATAGCTTGAAAGCATTTAGCGCGGGGGCCCTTGGAAGTGCGGGGCCCGTAGCATTATGTAGCTACTACATGTGTAGCTACTACATACGAGGATAATCCAGCACTGACCCCACCCCCTCTGTTTTCCTCCCCCTGCGCAAAGGCTAAAACGCGCCTTGACGGTTCTGGTGAAATGTCGAGATGGCAGGACTCTCCTGACAAACGGAGGAGTCTTGAGCCTCATTGAAACTATACTGGACTCATGAATGGTCGCTGTATCATCGTCGTTATCGTCACAACCACGGGTTGTGCACAGCAACACGCACACACACCGTGCACAGGCGACGCGACACGCACATCATGGCATGCAACAAAGACAAAGATCCCCCGTGTAGCCTTAACAGACTGGTGGGGCAAGTGCTGTTAGCGAGCACCTATGAACGCCCGCACGGCACGCGAGGGGGTGGGCGGCCAACACCACGCCCGGCCGCCTTTGTCTCCCCAGTGGCGATGTTTACACATCGCACCGGGTGCTCATTTGAGGCCGAGTCGACCTAGGGGAGGCCCAGGGCCGGTTCAGATAATCATCACTGGTGTAGGAGGCCGTGAGCGGGATTCGAACTCGGGTGGCCGGGTTCGTAGCGCAGCGTAGCGCTAACCGCTGCACCACCGCTCCTCATGCAACACACACACACATCACATGCACAACACGTCACAAAGGCAAAGATCCCTCGTGTAGCCTTAACAGACTTGTCGGGGCAAGTGCTGCCAGCGCGCAGCGCCTGTGAAGGCCGGCACGGCACGCGAGGGGGGTGGGCGACCAACACCACGCCCGGCCGCCTTTGTCTCCCTCGCGGCGATGTTTACACACCGCAACGAGGTAGTAATACGAGGCTGAGTCGACCTAGAGGGCGGTCCAAAACCGGTTCAGATAATCGTTGGCCGTGAGCGGGAATCGAACTCGGGTGGCCGGGTTCGTAGCGCGGCGTGGCGCTAACCACTGCACCGCAGCTCCCCCGAATGTACAACTCCTCACACAACAACAATTCATCACACACAACAACAACTCACACACACAACTCCTCACACACAACAACAACTCACACACAACAACTCACACACAACAACAACACTTCACGCGCGCGGGGTGTTAACGCCTTTCCCTGCGGGCTTGCTGTGCCCCAGGTGACCGCTGCAGTTCCCATAAACAGAACAGCCTCCGCGCAATCGGCGATTGATGGCGATTAACAAACACTGCGCACAACGCTGCGTGCACACGCCAAACAGCACGGGAAAAGGAGCATCTACACAGCGGTCATACACACAGGATGAAGACCACACAGCACACACACAGCATGTAAACCGTACAGCAGACACACAGCATGCATACCATACACACAGAGCACACAGCATGTATACCACACAGCACACACACAGCATGTATACCACAAAGCACACACATAGCATGTAGGCAGCACACACACACAGCATGTATGCAGCGCACACAGAGCACACACACGCAGCATGTATGCAGGACACACAGCATGCACGCTGCACACACACACATACATAGCACACACACAGCACACACATACACAACATGTACACTGCACACACATACATTGCACACACACAGCACACACATACACAGCATGTACACTGCACACACATACACAGAATGTACACTGCACACACACATACATAGCACACACAGCATGCATAGTGCACACACATACATAGCACACACAGCATGTACACTGCACACACACAGGGTGCACACACAGCATGTACACTGCACTTACACACACACACAGCATGCATACTGCACACGCACACATACATAGCGCACACAGCATGTACACTGCACACACACAGCACACACATACACAGCATGTACACTGCACTTACACACACACATAGCACACACAGCATGTACACTGCACCACACAGCACACACATACACAGCATGTACACTGCACTTACACACACACATAGCACACACAGCATGTACACTGCAACACACAGCACACACACACAGCATGTACACTGCACACACACACATACATAGCACACACAGCATGTACACTGCACCACACAGCACACATATACACATCATGTACACTGCACACACACACAGCACACACACATACATAGCACACACAGCACACACACAGGATACACACAGCACACACAGCATGTACACTGCACACACACACAGCATGTACACTGCACACACACACAGCACACTGCACACACAGCATGTACACTGCACACACACCACACACACACATACATAGCACACACAGCATGTACACTGCACACACATACATACATAGCACACACATACACAGCATGTACACTGCACACACACACAGCACACACACACACAGCATGCACACTGCACACACAGCATGTACACTGCACACACAGCATGTACACTGCACACACACACATAGCACACACTCTTGCTCGAGGCTGCGTTGCCTTTCCCATTAACACAGCAGCAGCATCATCGCTGTGCGATCGCCGATTCGCGTTTGCGATCTTGCAGAGTGGACATGTCAGCCCGGTATGAGACGATTCACGTCAAAGACAAAGATCCCCCGTATAGCCTTAGCAGACGTTTGGGACAAGTGCTGTTTGCGAGCAGCTCCCAGGGAAGGCCGGCACGGCACACGAGGGGGTGGGTGGCCAGCACTACGCCCGACCGCCTTTGTCTCCCCAGCGGCGATGTTTACACACCACGCACCGGGCAACTCATTTGAGGCTGAGTCGACCTAGTGGGAGACCCGCGACCTATGGAGAAGGGTCATTGCCCAAAACGTCGGTTATCATCTATATTTGTTTCTTTTAAGGCCACACACAACGGAGTGTTATTCACGAATGTGTTGAGATGCAAAATTTCGATTTAAAGCATTCGTGACTGCAGGGATTCATATCCTTGGTTCTTTCTGTAAAGTCACGTAGAAGGGAAATAATAAAATAATAAAAATAAAACATAATAAAATAAAAGTCTCACGACGTTTCGGCCACAACGCAAGCAGCCGTCCTCAGGTGAAGAAACAGAGCTGTCGGAAAGACGTTACCGAACGCTTATGTTTTATTTGTATTATTTTATTATTCCCTTCTGCGTGACTTTACCGAAAGAACCAAGAATATGTTGAGATGTTGCGTTCAGTGTGGTTTGTGTGCCTCTGTTCTATCGTGACGACATCATCATCACCACATAGCTAGTTTAGCCCAAATCAGAATGAGAATATTTATTCAATACAACAACACGATACCAAGCACAAGAAAAGTCAACAAATCACCCAAACACACCCAAACACACGAGACTAAACTTTCCCCATCCTACCAGGCAAGGCCCCGCTGCGACGTTAACTTGTTATTAGCTCAACAAAGTGGCCCATCATTTGGACATTTACAGCACCGAAATCATCTGAACAATCTCAGCAGACAAAGTGTATCCACAGTACTTTTAGTTTTTTTCGGTAAAGTCACGTAGGTAGAAAACAAAATGAATTAAATTGAAAACAACTAAATTAAACCACGACGTTTCGGGCGCAACACAAGCGTCCGTCTTCAGGTGGGGGACAGACACAGTAAAAGAACAACCGCTTAAGTATGCCTGGGCATACTTATGCCCGTAACGTCGTGATTTAATTGAGTTGTTTTCATTTTAATAGAAATATTTTATTTCTATTATTATAAAAAAAAAAATTATTTCTATTATTATTGCTATTATTTGTATTATTTTTATTAATTTTTTTACGTACGTGACTTTACCGAAAAAAACTAAAAGTATGGATCCTTGCAGTCGCGAAAACTTCAAATCTAGAATGTATCCACAGTGCCGGTATTCGGTCCGGAGGAGTTTCGTTGATTGGTAGACACACAGCCAGCTAGACAAACGAAGGGATTTAAGTGGAGAGAGAGAGATTTTGACACGTTGTGAGATCTGAGTGAGACGCTTTAACCCTTCCTTGACAGAGGCCCACAGTGAGAGACGGAGCAGAAAAAAATGGACAAGAACCGGTTAATATTTCGCTCAGCCACTTTGGTTCGCCATGGCCAGGAATGAAACTCAGTTGGAGGGGTTCATAGCCCGTTGCGCTCGCCTCCTCGCCCCCCCGCTTTCACCATGTCAGGGTTAAACCCCGGTAAAATGCGGAATAAATGGTAAACAAATGTAAATTATACACAATGTGTTTAGAGCAAAAAACACCACCGGAGTGTGAATATATGGAAGCATGCGCAGTAATGGACAATATAAGACACGCGCACCGACACATGAAGTACAGTACATTACTATGGATGTGTATTGAAATCGAGTGAGTGAATGAATGAGTGAGCGATCCTAGCGAATGAATGAATGAAATGGCCTGCCTCCCCAGTGAGCCCATTAGTGGAGGCTGCCTGATTGATGAGCGTTGCTCCGGCAACACGAGAGCGCTCGCTCATTCACTCACTCGCTCGCTCTCTCACTCGCTCGCCCGCTCGCTCATTCACTCGCTCGCTCACTCACTCTTTCACTCACTCTTTCACTCACTCTTTCACTCACTCGCTCTCTCGCTCACCCGCTCACCCGCCCTCTCACTCACTCGCTCTCTCGCTCACTCGCTCACCCGCTCACACTTTCACTCACTCGCCCTCTCACTCACTCACTCACCCGCTCACCCGCCCTCTCACTCACTCACCTACTCGCTCGCTCATTCACTCGCTCGCTCACTCACTCTTTCACTCACTCTTTCACTCACTCTTTCACTCACTCGCTCTCTGGCTCACCCGCTCACCCGCCCTCTCACTCACTCGCCCTCTCGCTCACTCGCTCACCCGCTCACACTTTCACTCACTCGCCCTCTCACTCACTCACTCACCCGCTCACCCGCCCTCTCACTCACTCACCTACTCGCTCGCTCACTCGCTCTGCTCGCTCCACTTCTCCACCCCTCTGCCCTTCTCGTGCCAGAGACTCCTCTATAGCACCCCCCCCCCCGCTCCCTCGAAAACGCGTCCATCCCCTATCCCCTCCCATACAGCACCATCCCATACCCTCCTGTTCCCTCCCATACAGCACCATCCCGATCTCATCCCATACCCTTCCATCCCAGCTCTCTCCACATTCCTCCCACCCCCCCTCTCTCTCCACATCCCTTCCCATCCTTCCGTCTCGTTCTCTCCACCGCTCTCCCACCCCTACTACCTCCACATCTCCCCTCTCTTCACACCGCTCGCATCCATTCTTCCTCATTCCGCTTTCCATCTCCGCTGTTCCCTCTGCATCGCTCTCATCTGCACTGCTTACGCATCCTCTAAAACCGTAAATTCATAATAAATTTCGATTTAGTACTAATCACATACCTGCATTTCCCATATCCCCTCCCTTTGATGCTGCTATTCCTGCATAATGCACGGGCATAAGTGGTACTGGTCGCTTACCTGCATTTCCCATGGGTATGCTAGATTCCTCTTGATATGCGAATTCTTTTGTCGGGGCGCTCTTCCCCCTCCAACCCAGCTTAAATATACGCTGCCAAGCCTGGTGGTGTTCATTCAGACGCTGTCTTTCTGACAGACCTGTTCTTCACCTGAGGACGGCTGCTTGCGTTGTGGCCTGAAACGTCGTGAGAATTATTTTATTATGTTTTATTTTTATTATTTTATTACTTCCCTTCATAACAAATGTTAATTCATCAACCTGTCGGCCTTCGGGACCAGTCTTGTTGAGCAGCAACGTGAGTTAAAGCAAAACATTCCCGGAGTGGTTCTGATTCCTCTGAGGCTCGTGAGCAGAGGTTGCAGGACTGCCAACAAAACAATTGCCGCTGGGTCTGCCCGAGGTCGAGGACACTTCGCGTGAACCGTCGGACCCGTTCGGTGCGGTGCAGCAAAACGGTGCAAAGCGATTTTCTTGAAATGATAATAATTACAAAACAAACAGGCAAGGCTCGGTTTTGTGACCTTCTGTGATATTCACCACTCGTTGATGAATGCTGCTGAATAATTTTACTGATTACTGGGGGGGGGGGGGGGTGGTGAGGGAGACGGAGATGGCGGGGGGTTGGGTTGACACGTGGCGCTTTCAGACGCGCTTCTGCGGCCGTCTGGAACGCTCTTTCCTTCCGATTTTAGGAAGGCACATTGGGAGCTGTGCAATTTGAAGTCATCATCGAGATTGAAAACGATTTTCTTTAAAACTGCGTTTTGTGTCTAGTTTCTTGTCCCCCACCCCCCCTTCCGAACCTCCGATTTGCACGGTTAGCTACGTACGGTGTGAAAGAAGTTTAACAAAGAAAGAAAACAAAGAACACCGTGCGGCCAGTGAAATAAGTTCAGAATGCATAAAGACTGCAACTAAACTAAAACCTTTTTTACTTTACTAGGTTATGACCTGCTAAGCTAACTCTCCTTTCAGAAGCGGCCTGGCCACAAACGACAGCTCAAAGAAGTGGCTCATCATCACGTGGACATGGATAGCGGCCAAAATAATCTACAACGCAGGTCGATTATAAACGCCGAGAGGAAAATCCCTTTGGACCCGGAGAAAAAAATCCACCTTAAATTTCGATTTAAAGCTTTCGTGACTGCAGGGATTCATCTTCTTGGTTCTTTCGGTAAAGTCACGTAGAAGGGAAGTAATAAAATATTGTTTTATTTTTATTATTTTATCACTTCCCTTCTACGTGACTTTACCGAAAGAACCAAGAAGGACATCCTCACCTTGCTTGCAGAAGGGTCCGTGGAAGGGCGTGTGGGTGCAGTCGCAGCTGTAGCCGTTGTAGCGCTCCACGCAGCGTCCCCGGTTGCGGCACAGCACCCCGTAGCTGCTGCAGTGGCCAGTGCAGCCGGGCTCCACGCCCTCGGTGACGCGCGCACGCTCCTCCAGCGCCAGCGCGGCGCCGTTCATGTGCAGCGCGCGCAGGCAGCCCAGGAAGCCGCGCTGGCCTGAAGCCGAGGCTCCTGCGACCCGGCGGACGGAGGCTCGGTCGGTCGGTGGGTTGGTGGGTCGGTGGGGGGGGTGTGTTGGTCTTTTGGTGGGTGGGTCAGTCGGTGGGTCGGTGGGTGGGTCGGTGGGGGGGTCAGTCGGTGGGTCGGTGGGTGGGTTGGTGGGTTGGTTGCTGGGTGGGTGGGTTGGTGGGTCGGTGGGTGGGTCGGTTGGTGGGTCGGTGGGTGGGTCGGTGGGTGGGTCGGTGGGTGGGTCGGTGGGTGGGTCGGTGGGTGGGTTGGTGGGTTGGTTGCTGGGTGGGTGGGTTGGTGGGTCGGTGGGTGGGTCGGTTGGTGGGTCGGTGGGTGGTCGGTGGATGGGTCGGTGGGTGGGTTGCTGGGTGGGTGGGTTGGTGGGTTAGTTGGTGGGTCGGTGGGTCGGTGGGTTGGTGGGTCGGTGGGTTGGTGGGTTGGTGGGTGGGTCGGTGGGTGGGTCGGTGGGTGGCTCGGTTGGTGGGTCGGTGGGTGGGTCGGTTAGTGGGTCGGTTAGTGGGTCGGATGGACCGTTGGTTTATTGGTCACCACCGGCAATTGGGATGCCAGGCTAGGTCCTGCCAATCCACACGCACCCAGCCACCAACAAACCCAGCCGCCGTACACCCACCCACCACCAACCCGCCCACCAAACCACTCCCCCACCGCAAACCCACCCAGGCACCCACCCACTACGCACACCACCCAATACGCGCCTACCCACCCACCGCGCGCACGCCACGAACGCACCCACGAAGAGCTTGCTGTTGAGCAGCAGGCGCGTGTGGCCGTGTGCCGGCGCCTGGAAGGAGCGCGCGGGCAGCGCGTCCACCTGCAGCGAGGCCTGCTTGACGCTGCGCTCGGCGCGCACGCCGTGCCACTGGTTGTCATTGAGCGGCCGCGGGCTGGAGGCCGTCACCTCCACGGGGCCGTCGCCCACGTCAAACGCGAAGCTCACCTCCTGGGGGGCTGCGGCGGGGGGGGGGGCACGGGGGGAGCAGGGCGTGGGAAGGTGGCAGGGTGAGTGGCGGTGGTTGTGGTGGTGATGTACGATGAACTTCTTTCGAGCCGTACGTAGCCGGCCGGGTCCAATCGGAGGTGTGCTTCTGCGGCCGTCTGGAACGCGGATCCAGTGAGCTGGGGGTTCAAGGGCACGTGTGCTGCAGGCGCTGACGTTCTCATAGCGGCAGGCCGATCACGTAAGTATGTACTCTATATTATTTAGGTATTTCGGCAAAGCCACGTAGATATATCAAATAATACAAATAATAAAATATAGTGTTTTTTATTACTATCATTCGTTTTGATCTATCTACGTGGCTTTACCTAAAGACCCAAGGAATATGAATTCCTGCAGTCACGAAAGCTTGAAGTCAAGATTTATGTACTGTATGTTGAACTTCTTTCGCACCATACGTAGCCAACCGTTGCTAATCGGAGGTGCGGGGGGAAGGACAACATACTGAACACGAAAGGCAATTTCTAAAGAAATGCGTTTTCAATCCAAATTTAAAAGTGAATAGTTCCAGTAGCTTCCTAATACCTATGCAGGTGAATAGGTAAGTACTATAGTAGTATTGTTATACTGGTAGGAACCTCCTGGTTACACCAGCCCACAGGGGATTATTGTGTCCGTCCGTCCGTCGTAGAGGGAGGGGCTGGGTGGGGAGGGAGGGGCTGGGTGGGGAGGGTGGGGAGGGGCTTGGTGGGAAAGGGCTGGGTGGGGAGGGTGGGGAGGGGCTGGGTGGGGCTGGGTGGCGGGTGGGAGGGGTGGGGCTGGGTGGGGAGGGAGGGGCTGGTCACCCCGTGGTGCCCTTATACAACTCAACGTTTAACCTACTCACGCCGGCTTGTGCCCGCCCTCACAGTCGGGCATATTTGCGGAATACACCACGCCGCCGTTGGCCCTGGCCATTGACGGAGCAACCCAACGTTCCTACCAGCTCCCTCCGCAGGAATGTGTTTCTCATAAATGCCACTGCCTGTCACTCCACCACCTCCACTCACTCACTCAATGGCAACCGACCATCACTCACTCACTCGCCACCACCGTGACCTCCTCACTGAAGCCACCGCCACCACCGCCGCCACCACGGTGGGTGCTGAGTGTGTGGCAGTGGGCGAGTGACGTGGGGATATTATTGATACGGCGCAATGGTGGCGGTGATCACGAATGGGGTGGCGGTGGTGGCGGTGGTGGCGGCGGGTGTGTGATGGTGTGGGATAACGTGCGGTGCTTGTGGCGATTGTGGGGGCGAAGGTGAGTGGGGTGGTGAGTGAGTAGGTCACGGTGGTGGTGGTGGTGGTGGTAAGTGACGGTCATTTGGCATTGAGTGGTGGTAGTAGTGCTTGAGTGAGTGGCAGTGGCATTGGTAATACATATTCATAACAAGGAAGAAAAACCGTGCATATGCGTGGCTTCTTTAACACGAGCCAACGCTCGTTTGCCCTTGTTTTTAATTATCACCACCGTGACCTTCCCCCATCGGTTTGTGCCGTGTCGTTTGCTCCACATTGTTTGTCCCATAAGCCTCGAGGCACATCAGCATTTCAGTTGTGCCCCGCGAGACATGATTGACTGTGCGAACGCAACATTAAATAATCAAACTAGGATGACGACAATCATTATTATTATTATTTGACGCATGCCTAGCGAGAGAACACACTGCGATTGATTGATGATTTCCCGTCCCCTTGTGTTTTCCGCCACGCAAATTTGATTCCGGTCGCGCTGTCGGCGTCGCGAGAGGCACGCCCGCCCGTGCGCTGCATTCGCGATTCTCGCAGAGCCGCACAGAACGGCCCGTGGAAAGTGGCGTCGCGGGAACTAGTTCTGACGTGCCCTCAAGGTGACCTCTGATCCGCACGCAATGCCCGCACACTTTTGCCGCGCGCCCCGCTGCGGATATGTTCGCTTGCACGCCAATGAACCATTTCCCCCATTCCGAGACGTCTGCAAGCCGCGCGGCCACCACTCTGAATTTTTAAACAGAATACAATTAACGAATCGTTAACACACACACGCGCGCGCGCGTGCGCGGGGGGGGGGGGGGCTTAATTGAGCTCTCCAAACAACATTAGCCTGGCCACTGGCAGAGCAGAGTCGGTGGCACGTGGCTAGTCGCAAACACTGCTCGTTGGGTGTGCCGGGTGCCAACCAGGGCAGCCCCTGCTGGAGCGAAGGCCCTAGCGAGTCGCTCGTTTGACCCTGACGGCGGACAGCTCCTTGCTCTGTCGGTGTTTTCTGTGGAAGTTGTCGAGGATCCCCCACTGGGTGTTTCCGTCGCCGTTGTGGTTGGTGGTGGCGGTGGTGGCGGTGGTGGCGGTGGTGGCGGTGGTGGTGGTGGTGATGAGGGGTGGCGGTCGTCTGATCGCTTCGATGATGAGAGCGTTTGTGAGCCGGGAGTCATGCGAGCTGGATCGTCGCGGAGGTAGTGGTGGTGGCGCTGGTGGTGATGGTGGTGATGGTGGTGGTGATAGCGGTGGTGATAGCGGTGCTGATGGTGGTGGCGGTGGTGGTGGAGATGGCGGTGAAGGTGCTCCCACCGAGTCGTTTTGTTCACGGCTAGATTTCCGATAGAGGCCACCAGCCCCAAATAAAAGTCGTAGTCCCCGTGCTCAAGTGAACGTTGGGCGACTGTCCTCTCTCTCAATTTGTCATCACGATACAGGGGTAGATAGCCCCGTAGGTGTCCACTGCACATTCCGTCATTTGTTGTTTCCACTTTCCTCTCTGTCTTGTGCCAATGTGCTCAAGTAGTGGCCACACCTTTCTGGCACCGATCTCCTACTTCGTCGTCATCGTCGTCCTCGTCGTCGTCGAGCCATTTCTCTGTGAGGTCTTCCTTTCTTTCCGGTTACTTCCATTTTTAATGATGGAAAGCCACTCGCTTTGTCTGTCCATCCATTAATCTGTCCTTCTGTCCATACATCCATCCATCCGCTTGTCCACCAGTCCACCCGTCCGTCCGTCGTCACGTTTACATTCACTGTGCGCATAACAAGCCGGCCGACAACGACGAGGGCTGGTGCCCACGTCGACGACCTGCACGTGACGTGGACCTGCGGCGGTGTCGCGATTCGAGCGCCGAGCTACGAATTACCGTCGGCCCGAGTTCGATTCCCGCTCGTGGCCAACGTCGGTGACGATTACAATCTGTGCCTGTCTTGGGCCTTGCCTCGATCGACTCAGCCCTGGCTGGGCACCTGGCGCAGCGTGCAGACATCAGCACCGGGGAGACAAAGACAGCCGTGGCCACGCCATGCCCTCGTGTTACGTGAATAACAGCTGCTCAGCTCGCAGCGCTTGCCCTGACAAGTCTATGCGGGGGGGGGGGGGGGGGGGGAGGGTAACTCTACGTCTGTACGTGTGAGCGCGACGCACACCGGCCACCTACACTTGAGCTGGATGCGCATGAAGTGCTGCAGGCCCAGGTTCTCGAGGAAGATCCCGTGTGACGCCGACGTCTTGAAGAAGAAGGAGATGTCGGCGTTCGTCTCCCCGCGGAAAGTGGGGAAGAGCAGGTAGGCCGACTGGCTGGTGAACAGAGCCGCGTTCCAGAGGCCCTCTGCACAAAGACAAAGAGCGGTGGCGTAGCAGCGGTTAGCGCTACGAACCCGCGCTGCGAACCCCCGCGACCCGAGTTCGATTCCCGCTCACGGCCAACGATTTTCTGAACCGGTCGTGGGACTCTCCCTAGGTCGACTCGGCCTCAAATGAGTACCTGGTGCGGCGCGTAAAAACATCGCCACTCGGGAGACGTGGTGCTGGCCACCCACCCTCTCGTGTGCCGTTCTGGCCTTAATAGGTGCTCGCTAACAGCACTTGCCTGAACAGTCTGTTAAGGCTATGCGGGGGTTCCTTGTCTTTGCTTTCTGTACACACACGCACACATAAGACAAAGGTCTCCCCCATGTAGCCTTAGCAGACTGTTTGGGCAAGTGCTGTTTTTAGCGAGTGGCACCGATGAAATGCCGCTGGCGTGGCATTACGAAATGATGAACGAAGCAAAGTGCCGACTACACCGAGCATCTTCTTGTTTCCACTGATCGTAAAAAAAAAGAGAGAGCGAGAGAAGGGAAGCCTGTTTCACAAACCACGCATGCAGCCGTGCCCCCCTCTCTCTGTCGCAAATCTACATAAATGTTTGTTGGGGCCGACTGGGGGTACAACGCCACACCCAGGTGGCTCGACGGGGCTCAGCGAGCGGCCTCACAAGCGGGAGGCTGCGAGTTCAAGTCCCGGTTGTGGGATGGACTCAGGCCATCATCCCCCCCCCACCCCCCCGGGGGACCACTTTGTGAGTAAGTCAACAGCGGTCGTCCCGTGTAGTCCACCACCAACCACCCTCATGCCCCCCCCCCATTACACCCCCCCCCCCCCGCCTGCCCCGCCATAGGAATGATGAGGGCTGTAAACAGGGGGGGTGGGCACCAATACCTCAATGCTCATCTGATGGTCAATATGAATATTTCACTTTTGACGTTTAATTTACAAAATGAAGTTAGGTAAACTACCCTGATTAAACTACTCCTAACCGTAAGATCTAAACGCACCCCCCCCACCCTACAAAAAAAATCAAACTTGCGCTAACAAAAAACATGTTGGTGTGTTCCGGTAATATGAATAGTTTTGTATCAGAGGCATTTAGAGAGAGAAGTGAATTCGTATTGTCACCGGGGGGTGGGTGCTGGGCTTGGCGGTCTGTAGGAAATGTTTGCATCGGCCGAGTTGGTTCCGCGGGCCATAAAAAGTTCGAGACGCGCCGCCTCTGTCCCGTACACAAAGGGCCCAGGTGTGATGTGAGCCAGTCCACAATTTTGGCTGGTCGATGGGGAACAACTCACTGTCGCCGTGGCAACGCAGCGGACCCACGCGGTAGGAGGCGGCGGAGTTGGTGCGGTTCGTGTCCGCGATGACGAGCTGCTGCAGCGGCAGGTGCTCCTTGTAGGTGAGGAGGCCCGAGTCCCGTTGCCTGGGCAACCGAAAGAGTGAGAGAGAGGGTGAGAGAGAGGGTGAGAGAGGGTGAGAGATGGTGAGAGAGAGGGTGAGAGAGAGGGTGAGAGAGAGGGTGAGAGAGGGTGAGAGAGAGGGTGAGAGAGGGTGTGAGAGAGGGTGAGAGAGAGGGTGAGAGAGAGGGTGAGAGAGGGTGAGAGAGAGGGTGAGAGAGGGTGAGAGAGAGTGAGAGAGAGGGTGAGAGAGAGGGTGAGAGAGAGGGTGAGAGAGAGGGTGAGAGAGAGGGTGAGAGCAGGTGAGAGAGAGGGTGGGTGAGAGAGGGTGAGAGAAGGTGAGAGAGAGGGTGAGAGAGAGGGTGAGAGAGAGGGTGAGAGAAGATGAGAGAGGGTGAGACTTTTGACTTTTAACAACTTTTATTGCCGCCAGCAGCAACAGCACTGGAGGCGATTTCGATTCGAAACACACAAAGTCACCAGCAACACAAATGAAAATAAACGCTACAAATCCACGCGCTGTGGCGCTACAAGCACTGCGCACAACACGAAAGAAAAGTCACGTGGTGGTGGTGGTGGTCATCGCGCATGCCATGGTGACGAGCGAGCGCTTCAGAAGGTGAACACGAGGGTGCCGTCCACGCTGGTACAGAGAGGGGCTTTTCCGGCTCCCCAGCGTTCGAAGAAGACGTGCACATCACCGGCATGTGTGTGGTACGCGTGCTCCAGCCGGAGCCGCGCCTTAAGCAGACTTTTGAACACTGGAAGCATCGAGCAGTCATCAGTGTCATCTTCCAGCATCTTTTTCCTCCTTCTGAATACCACCATCTTCGCCTGAGCACAGGCGAAGTTGGCGAGGTCATGGCACTTGTTAGCCAGGTAAGGCACCACCCCATATACGAAACTCCTGTTGTAGAAGGGCACCCCCAGTTTCCTGAAGATGTCCCCCAAAAGGCGGAACATTGGTTTGAGCCGTTAGCAGTGTAAGTACTGGTGGGGCAGATCCTCCCTGGCACCGCAGGAAATGCACAAGTCTGTTACCCCTGGCGAGAGATTCGGCTGAGCCACACGGCCGATGGCAACGTGCAGCGTGCCAACCTCCACTGGAGGTCACCGCAGCGCTTGGCTACGGGAGACGTGTACATTTGTTTCCACTGAGGGGCGGCCGCAATGAGGGGAGAGAAATGGGGGGAGAGGGAGCAGAGCTTGAAACCTTTCGTAAAATATTTCATTTAAACAGGGGGGGGGGGGGGCATATAAAGCAAAGCATTGAAAAAAAAACACGAAAAACCGAAATGATAAACGAAGCAAAGTGCCGACTACACCGAGCATTTTCTTGTTTCCTCTGATCGTTAACAAAAAATAAATAAAAATAAAAAGGGGGGTTGGGAGAGAGAGGGAGTGAGAGAGAGTGAGAGAGAGGGGGGATGTGAGAGGTGGTTGGGGTGGGTAGAGAGAGGGATTGGTGAGAGAGAGAATGTGAGAGAGAGTAATGGGTTGGAGATGGTGGAGGGTAGAAAGACGTAAGATGTAGGATGAGAGAGAAGGTGAGAGTGAGGTTAGAGATAAGAGATTGAGGTGAGTGCTAAGAGAGCGAGGTGAGAGAGAGGTAAGAGAGGAATGGGTAAGAGAATGAACGAGCGAGAGAGTGAGCGAGAGAGTGAGCGAGAAAGTGACCGAGAGAGTGAGCGAGAGAGTGAGCGAGAGAGTGAGCGAGAGGTGGGGGTTTTACATAAAGCTATGTTAAAAAACAATACGAAATGATGAACGAAGCAAAGTGCCGAATACACCGAGCATCTTCTTGTTTCCACTGATCGTAAAAAAAAGAGAGAGAGGTAAGAGAGGAATGGGTAAGAGGATTCGTGAGCATGGAGAGAGAGAGAGGTGACAGGTGGGTGGGTGAGAGGATGGGGGAGGAAGGTGTTAATGGAGAGAAAGAGAGAGAGCGAGAGGGGTGGATGTGAGATGCGGAGAGCAAACGAGCTGTCGCGTGACGAGGGTGAAATCCGGCACCGATATCGACTCTGCTCAACGCAATCTTACTCGGGAGCACCGCAGACCCTCGCAAGCCTCGGTTGGACTCCTCCCGGCCGTGGCGAACAACAGCGGCCGACCGACAATAGTGGTGAAGTATGGTCAAAACAGACTTACGTGGGGGTGAGAGGGGAGGGAAATTTATCGGGGAAGAAGTCCATTGACTAGAGGGCTACGAAATGATGATTGCTACTGCGGTTGCGTAACCGTAGTCACTGAACGAGCAAAGAGACCCGAAACGTCTCAGTGTGTGTGGGGGGGGGGGCTGCTTCTCTTCACTTGGCTACACAGCGGGGGGGGGGGGGGTTGTCAATTTCCCCACGCGACGACGTGAAGTGATGCCTCGTGCATTAGTGGGGGGGGGGGCGATGTGGGGGGGGGGTGAGCGGAGCGAAGTTGGGGGGCGAGGGAGCGGAGGGCCGGGGGAGCGAGGGGGCTGAGGGGCGAGGGGGGCGTGGGCGGGGGGGGGAGGGGTGGGGGAGGGGCGGGGGGGCGGGGGGACCTGAAGTTGGGGGGAGGGGGATGCGAGATAGAAAGTTGTCTCGGGAAAACACGATCCGACAACTCAGTGGATGTAGCAGGGCCGCATCGAATGGGCACTGAACAAACTTGAGGCTGAAACACTCCGAAGCGGAGGGAGCGAGACGGGAAACAGAGGGGGCAAAGGCGACAACCAAAACACGAAATATTTACAAGTTGCAAAAAAACGCCGTAATACAAAACACGACACATCTCGAAGCAGGGGAAAAGTCAGCGAGGGTCAAAGCGAGCGAGCGTCAGAGAGAGAGAGCGAGGGGAGGGAGGGGGGGAGAGATGGAGTCGCGAAATGCATCGCAGAGTGAGAGAGGGGAGGGGAATAAGCCGAGCGAAAGGCGAACTTGGAGCGAGGCCAAATAACGGAGAGAGGAGGAGGAGGGGGGGACGAGGAGGAGGGAGATGGGGCCTGGAGACGAGGAGCGGAGGGACTACAATTGCGTCAGTGGCTGGGCCTTGCTCACGTCAAATCAGCCGAGCAATAATGGCAGCTGTCAAACTTTTATTTGATTATCAGAAGCGATTTTCCCAACTCTGTTCCACAACCCCCACTAACACCCCCCCCCCCCCCCCGTTACAATGGAGAGGCAATAAACGCCTCGCAAATTCCCCCAAGAGCAGACGGGCGAGGCGAGAGGCATGGCACTGCGGATCGGCAAATCATGTTTGCCAGACAAAGAGGATTGTGTGGGATGCTGGGGGGGGAGCGGCTGGGCTGACTTATGGGATAACGAGTGGACGTGGAGAAGGGGGAGGAGGGGGGGGGAAGTGTGAAAGTGTTGAGCCCAGCGAGCGAGACGTTCGTTCCCGACGTGGTGAGCGCTCTCACGCCTCCCGTCCGTGCTGCCAACTCTTCGGGGCAGCACGTGACACTCGTGGAGTCCCAACAACGATCGCCCCCCACCCCCCACCACCACGTGGAGTCCCAACAACGATGCCCCCCACCCCCCACATCACGTGGAGTCCCAACAACGATTTCCACCCACCCCCCCACCCCCACGTGGAGTCCCAACAACGATGCCCCCCACCCCCCCACCCCTCGTGGAGTCCCAACAACGATCACTGCCGGACGAGAGGGCCTCCTTTACTTGATACAGCAGTCGTGCTGTGACGGTTCCACCTGAAGACGGAAGCTTGTGTTGCCTCCGAAACGTCGTGATTTATTATTTTATTTCTATTATTACTTTTAATTATTTTTATTTTTTACCTACGTGACTTTGCAGAAAAAACCTAAGAGTATGAATCCTTGCAGTCACGAAAGCTTCAAATCTAGAACTCCTAGCAGCTGTGTGGGGTCGTGGGGGATTATTTTGACCTCACTTCGCCCTGCTGGTCCGTGCGAGTCGGTGAGGTGCGTGGGTGAGGGAGCGATGCATTTTGCCCCAATGTTCTCCGCTGCTCACCACGTAGCCTCCCGCAGCCTACAATAATAATGATAATTACAATGTATAATTGCGCATTCCATCTGAGGATCCCAATGCACGATGCATGAAAGGCAGGAGGCAACAACAGAGCCAGGAGCAACCGAACGGACGATAGAGCGATGGCCACTTTAAAGAAATTGGGTTTTCAAAGCAGACTTAAATGTTGAGCAACCTTTTCAATTCTCTAAACTTAAAAAACACGTTTCTTTAGAACTGCTACTTTTTGGGATTAGCACGGTGGGCTACGTACGGTGCTAAAGAAGTTCAACGTACGTACACACACACACGACTCGCTCTCCCACACCTCTCCGTACGTACACACACACGGGACTTGCTCTCCCACAACTCTCCGTACGTACACACACACACGTACACACACGTACACACACACACACGGGACTTGCTCTCCCACTCCTCTCCGTACACACACACACACGTGGGACTCGCTCTCCCACCCCTCTCCGTACGTACACACACACACGTACACACACACACGGGACTCGCTCTCCCACAACTCTCCGTACACACACACACACGTGGGACTCGCTCTCCCACCCCTCTCCGTACGTACACACACACACACGTGGAACTCGCTCTCCCACAACTCTCCGTACACACACACAACACGTGGAACTCGCTCTCCCACAACTCTCCGTACGTACACACACACGTGGAACTCGCTCTACCACAACTTCCGTACACACACACACACGTGGAACTCGCTCTCCCACCCCTCTCCGTACGTACACACAACGTGGAACTCGCTCTCCCAAACTCCGTACACACACACACACGTGGAACTCGCTCTCCCACAACTCTCCGTACACACACACACACGTGGAACTCGCTCTCCCACCCCTCTCCGTACGTACACACACACGTGGAACTCGCTCTCCCACAACTCTCCGTACGTACACACACACACGTGGAACTCGCTCTCCCACCCCTCTCCGAACACACGTGGGACTCGCTCTCCCACACATCTCCGTACGTACACACACACACGTACACACACACACGGGACTTGCTCTCCCACAACTCTCCGTACACACACACACACACGTGGGACTCGCTCTCCCACCCCTCTCCGTACGTACACACACACGTGGAACTCGCTCTCCCACCCCTCTCCGTACGTACACACACACACACGTGGAACTCGCTCTCCCACAACTCTCCGTACACACACACACACGTGGAACTCGCTCTCCCACAACTCTCCGCGACATTGCCACGTAGTCTCAACCATGGGCAGGAATCGTACTCGAGAAATTTTGATGATCATGATAGTGATGATGATATTATTATTGCAACTACGAGGCCTTCACCCGTATAAGCCTCGCCGAGTACCAAGACTCATTTTCGGGACGATCCTGCCAAGCTTTCGTTGTTGCGGCTGGGCGGATCAATGCTGCTGCTGATGATGATGCTGCTACGTGTAATTCCCCCGCACCCCCCCCCCCCATTAAATGATTTGCAGATCGTTTTTCCGCATTGGGATGTGTTACGTCAATACGGGATACGCTCTGGTGTAGCTTTTATTCCGAGCTATGTGAGATGAAACCAGGGGCGCTCTGGAGAGAGAACGGAGATTCTCATGAAGCAGAAAGGCACCCGAGCAGGGGAATGGAACCCAGGGGTTCCTCGCTGCGAGGCACAATCCGTCACACCACCGCGCCACCTAAAGCTTCCAGGCTCAAGGGTGCAACGTCCAAAGCGATGCGCCATCACCCTCCTTTCACCCTCCTCTGCCCAGTGTGGCGCTGCGCTACGAATCCAGCGACCCGAAGTTCGATTCCCGCTCACGACGGCCAACACCGGTGACGATTATCAGAACCGTTCGTGGGTTTCTCCCCTAGGTCGACTCAGCCTCAACTGAGTACCTGTTGCGGTGTGTAAACATCGCCACTCGGGGTGGGGTGAAAGACAAAGACGGCCGGGCGGTAGCGGCGCTGGACGGCCTCCACACGTGCCGCGACTCCGCCAGCGGCACTTGCCCCGACAATCTCTTTAGAGGCTATACGGGAGGGGGGGGGCACCTTTGTCTTTGCGAGCGCACGTACCAGACGGGCAGGTCCGCGTCGCAGTTGCAGTGGACGCGGGGCTGCGTGCAGTTGCGCTCGATGCCGCACGCGCACTTGTGGACCCCGGGGCTTGAGCCGCCCCAGTAGGACTGCCGCTCACCGCTTCGAGCGACCCACCACACCATGGGGGGGCCCTCTGCCCAGGGGGAGGGGGGGAGGAGGAGAGAGCGGCGCAACCGCAATCATCGTCGTGGTCGTTATCATCGTCGTCGTCGTAGTCGTCATCATCGTCGTCGTCATCCTCGTCATCATCGCCATCATCATCGTCGTCGTCGTCATCGTCATCGTCGTCATCGTTATCACCATCGTCGTCATCATCGTCATCGTCGTCGTCATCGTTATCATCATCGTCGTCATCATCGCCAACCAACACCACGTGTGCGTGCGAACGGACATTTTCAACGCGCGCCGTAGCCGGTTTCCGGTCGCTCTCACACGGAGTCGGAGGCACGCGACACCACTGACAAGCGGAAGGGGGCAGCCGGAACCAGCGCCGACAATTGCCCAAGCTCTGCGGTCCTACAGCGGGCGTGTTTGGTCAACTCCGTTCAACAGCAGCGCAATGAAGCGAAGACACGACTCCCACCGTGCCTTGCGTGAATGTCACGTGGACCACCAGGCAGCATTGCACGTGCAACGCTCCCTCGGCCTTGCTAGACCACCAGCTCGACGGGGCTGAACACGCAGTCGCATTGTTGCGTGGGCCACCCGCAACAACCACTACCGCGTGTAACAATCACACGCAACCACATTATGATGATGATGAAGGAAATGACTACGACGATGATGACAATAATGACGATGATGGCGATGACAGCCGTATGATGATAATGATAATGACGACGACGACGACGATGATGTTGCCATTGACGACGACGGCGACGACCCAATCACAATCGGCCATGTGCACGCGGACGCGCGCGCACCTGGCGAGTTGAGGAGTCGCGAGCGTCGGCAGGAGTAGTCCACCTGCTGCTCGCAGCTCTCGGCCTGCGCCGCCACGGCCGCCAGCTGCTCGGCCGTGGCGTTGTAGGAGAAGCGCGCCACGTGCGGCCGCTCAGGGCTCGAGCCCGAGACGGCGACCGCCGCCGTCGCCACCACCGAGGCGGCCGCGGTGGCACCCCGCGGCGTCGCGGGCAGCGTCGTCCACACCGCGTCCTCTACGCGCGCACGGACGCACGCGCGGACGGATGAACACACGCACGGATGATCGGACACACGCACAGACGGACACACGCATGGATGATGGGACACATGCATGGACGGACACACGCACGGATGGACACACGCACGGACACACGCACGGATGGACACACGCATGGATGATCGGACACACGCACAGACGGACACACGCACGGACGGACACACGCACGTGGGGATGTGGGGTCGCACGCATCTCCCACCCACCTCCATCTCTCGCCCCCCTGCAGCCCCCTCATCCCACCTGTGATGTTGCAGAAGACTTGCACGGGCCCCAAGGGGCCGCTGCCGTCCGTGTCGATGGAGTAGAGGCCGGAGGAGCGGCCCAGCTGCTTGTAGGCCTCGCACGATCGCTCGTGCACCGCTACGCAGGGGCGCGACACGCGCGGCACAAGCGAGAGGGGGTCGGTAAAGAGCGAGCGCCGGTAAAACCGAAGCGGTTACCGGTTAAAACCGGCAACGGTTGGCAGAAACGATCACCGCTGTGCGAAGGTCAGGGACTTGTTTACACCGTCACCCGCGAACGTACAAACCGCACGGCGGTGAAAGTCACCGCGTGGTCCGAACTGTTTATTCTTATTTCACCACTGAGAAGCGACCTGGCCAACACAAACGATCGCTCAGCAAAGTGGCTTATCACCTGGAAAGTTATAGCAGCCAAACACTCTAAACGCGTGACGTTGATTTTAAATAACGAGGGAATAACCGCAGGACCCGGAGAAAAATCCAAGCGACCACGGGGAGAAGACGCCCAATATTACCCTCGCGTCTCAGTTCAAAGGTCAAGGTGCAGCCCTGCAAGTGCTTGCCCACGCCACTGCGGGTGGATGGTCCTCTACCAGAGGGAGCTCTCGACGGTGCTTGGTCTACTCTTCCCCCCGCGCTGACCAAAAGTCTTGTAAGAGATGGAAGTACCCACACACACCCCCCCACCCCTCCTCTGCCCCCCCCCCCCCCCCCCGCGTGGACTCACAGCGATGGCAGGTGGTGCCGGTGTATCCCGTGCCCTCGCACTGGCACGAGAACGAGTCCCACGTCTGGGCGCAGCGGCCACCGTGCTCGCAGTGGTCGGGGAGGCACCTGCACACGGCACGTGACACGCGCGTGTGTGACATGTGACGCACGCATGTGTGACACGTGACGCACGCGTGTGTGACACGTGACGCGCGTGTGTGTGACACGTGATGCACGCAACACGTGACACGCGTGTGTGACACGTGATGCACGCGTGTGTGACACGTGACGCGCGCGTGTGTGACACGTGACGCACGCGTGACACATGACGCACGCGTGTGTGACACGTGACGCACGCGTGTGTGACACGTGACGCACGCGTGTGTGACACTCAGCGCACGTGGCACGCGACACGCGTGTGTGACACTCAACGCACACACGCGACGCACGCATTCAACACGAGACACGCACTGATATCACAGACGCACACATGTGTAAGGTAAAACATACTTAACACACACATTTCACGTGCACATATAAGCCGTAACAGTACGTTAGACACAAACAGCAAGTTACACACAAAGACACACACGCACTAACACACACAACTAACACACACACCTAACACACACACACCTAACACACACACACACACCTAACACACACACACACACCTAACACACACCTAACACATACACCTAACACACACACACACACACCTAACACACACGCCCCCCCACCTGTCCAGGATCCCACAGGTGTCCACCTGCAGGTGCGAGTGATTCCCCAGGATGCCGCGCTCCAGGAGGCGGAGGTCGACTTCCCGCTGGTGGACAACGACGGATCGCACGCAGCCCAGGAAGGAGGGCGGCAGGGTGGCGACAGGGCACGAGGTCGCGTCCGGGCAGCCTGGCCGAGGGGAGGGGGGGGATGGGGGGTGAACGGAGTTGCTCCAACTGGAGGACCGCAGAGCTGAGGCAATTCTTGGCGCCAGCTCTGGCTGCCTTCGCGCGTTCTCGTACAGTTTCCAGCACCTCTGAAATCATTCTCAGCCATTCTCACTCTCTCTCTCTCTGCGCGTGTGAGCGTCGTTATTGATATCCGGGTGCTCCGGTTTCCTCCCGCGTGCATAAACAACTCAATCATTTTTGGCCGAAAACATCTTAATTTATTTTTTAGAAAAGTATACAAAGCAGGTCCTTGCTGAAGAAAGAGTCATGAGGACGTCCTCGGTAAACAAGTACCTAATGTCATCTTGTTCATCAAACGTCGCGAACATAAAAAGAAAAAAAATCAGAAAACTATTCAACTATCTTCTATTTTACCAGGTAAGGCCCACTGAGCTATGTAGCTCTTTTCTCAGGAGGGACCTGGTCACACGTGACCGCTCTCAACGAAGCGTCTTACCATCACGTGAACATTTATAGCAGCAGCCAAACGCTCTGAACGCGCGGCGTCGATTCTAAATGTGGAGGGTAAAACCCGCAGGACCCGGAGAAAAATCCACGCGACCGCGGCGAGAGAGAACCCACGGACCTCCTCGACACCAGGCGAGGCAGTTAACGTCTCGAAACCCCAAGAAGCGGGACGCAAATGGAAGGGTGGGAGGAAACGGCAATGTCGCGAATTTGACGCCACCCCACGTGGGGTCCACTCAACACGCAGACCCGGCACCGCCGTCACAACGCCACCGCCGAGGAGAGGGGACGGAAAAGATGAAATTTGTTTTTACTTCTAAATTTGAAGCTTTCGTGACTGCAAGGATTCATATTCTTAGGTTTTTTCGGTAAAGTCACGTGGGTAAAAAATTTAAAATTAATAAAAGTAAAATAAAATAAAAAAAATCACGACGTTTCGGAGGCAACACAAGCTTCCGTCTTCAGGTGGAACCGTCACAGCACGCTTGCTGTAATCAAGTAAATGAGAAATTCCAAGAGATACTACCCCGTATATATGCTGGTTGAGGGGGGGATGAGCCAGTACAGGCCCCCTTTTTGATATTATTATGGTAAGGTTGGTGCGGCTTGAAACTACGGCTAATCTACATAACAAAGGACTGAGCCTTTGTTATGTAGACTGGCTGAGAAGGGGGGGGGGGGGAGTGAAGGGTTTCTGAGAAGAGTCTCCAGGTGGTGTTTGTGAGATCACCCTCGGGTCGAGGAGCCCCAGACGTTCTTCCGAAGCTGTCATAGTCGCCTATTTGTCTTGGGGCCGAATGATGCCAAACATTTCCTCTCCCCTGCGCCTCGCTGTCGGGAGCGCGAAATAATTTGACTTCGCGAAAATTACGCGCTTTTTTTTTATGGAATAAAACCGATAACGTTCGCGATGATAATTACGATAGTAACAAAAATAATTTAAGTTAAAAACAGAAACAATTAAATTAGTTATTTATACACAAGATTGTTACATTTACAGCGTGGACGTTATGGCGTCATCGTGTTCTGAAGCGGACGCTCTCCGTGCACGCAGACTGTGAGGTTGCAATGATTACGTCGTTACGATGATTACGTGATTATGATGATTACGTCTTTACGATGATTACGTCGTTTTGGCGATCGCATCGTTACGATGATTACGTGATTATGATGATTACGTCGTTACGATTATTACGTCGTTATGGCGATCGCGTCGTTACGATGATTACGTGATTATGATGATTACGTCTTTATGAAGATTGCGCCGTTACAGCGATCGCGTCGTTACAGCGATCAGCGGCAGGTTCTTATTCCGGGCGAATTGAAATCAAAAACCTCGTAAACATTCCGATTCATAATTGCTTTTTGGGGTCAGGCTACGTCATGGGTCTGACCGAATCTGTGCCGTGAAGACCCTCCACCACCCAACATGGCCAAGCACATTACATTGCCATTAGATACGCGACGCTTCACTCGAAACTGCGTCAAGCATACGCAGGACAAGCCGTCGGGTGGCGGAGGCTCTTACGACACAAACCTGGCCAGATCACTTACGTGGCTTGACACGCGTATCAATTCCGAACTATACGCTCGCTCTACTCTGTTGATTAGAACACTATTTCACTTTAACACGTGGGCTTTCTCGACAAACATTGCCGATAACCAAGGTGTTGATAATTGTTTTTTTAATATATTTATATTCGTCACGTCGTCTCTACGTGGCGATCCTTACTCATCGGATGTTTGGGGTGGTGCGCGGCTTCAACGATTAGCACGGTTAGTCACGTGCGGTGCAAAAGAGGTCTCAACGTACACACATTTAAACGTATGCGACCTTAGCCCCAACCCCCCTTCCTCTAGTATGGATATCTTCACCCTCTGACCTATTTGACCTCACCTCCCAGGTAGCAGTGGTCACCCGTGACGATGTCGAGCTGGCTGTTGGAGTGCATCGCCGTCGAGGGCTCTCCGTCCAGAACGAGCGAGAGGAAGTTGCGGCGAGCCTCCACCAGCACCGAGTGCCACTGCCCGTCGTTCACGGCCGACCCTGCCGCCCAGCGACGCAACAACAACAAACAACAACAACAACAATTGCGACAGCACCAACAGAATCGTCATCGGCAGCAGCAGCAGCAAGAGCACTAGTGACATCCGCAGCACCAACAGAATCAGTTGCAGCAACATCATCAGCAGCAGGGAAATCAGCAGCTGCAGAAACAGAATCATCATCAGCAGCAGCACCAACAGACACGTCATCATCAGCAGCAGCAACAACAGAATAATCATGAGTAGGCAGCAAAACAACAGTAGTGACATCAGCAGCTGCACCAACATAATCATCATCAGCAGCGACATCAGCAGCGACATCAGCAGCAACATCATCATCAGCAGCAGTAACAGCAGCAACAGCAGCCACATCAGCAACAACAACAGCAGCAGCAATAACAGCAGCAACAGCAACATCATCATCAGCAGCAGCAACAACAACAGCAGCAACAGCAGCAGCCACATCAGCAGCAGCACCAACAGAATCATCATCATCAACAGTAGAAACAACAGCAGCAAGAGAATCAACAACAGCAACAACAACAACATCAGCAGCAGCATCAACTCTACAAGGGGTGACCGATGGAGTTCAGTGGCCCCCGCCCTTTTCCCTCCCACCGTTCGTCCGCCAGCAGCGTCGCGGGCGAGAAATTGCAGGGCCCTCGCACCCTCGAACCAACAATCTCCCACCTCGGCGGGTCGCGCCTAATCACCTGCGGTGATGTGGGCGTTGGTCCGGCGTGCCTGTCGCACCGACACGCTGACCTGCCCGTCGGCCAGCACGACGGACAGGGAGCCCCCCCCCGCGGCCCCCCCGCCACCCGCCCCCGCCGTGCCCCCCAGGGGGAGGTGGAGGAGGAGGGCGCGCTCCTGCCACGTGCGGAGCTCCAGGGAGAAGGAGAGGGAGGCGAGGCCCGGGGGAGCGTCGAGACGGAGCCAGGAGCCAGGGCGCGGGAAGGTCACGGAGGTCGAGCCGGGGTCAAGGCAGCGGGACGTCACGTTGCCCTGTAGCGGGGGGGGGGGGGCAGGGAGGGGGGCAGGGGGGGGAAGTGTTCAATGTAGGAGGGGGGAAATTATGGATTAGTGGCACATGCAACATATAATATCCATAAAAGAGGTTTTTGGGTTAGATCACGTAAATATATAAATGTGTGTCGTTAAAACCCGCCACCACCCGACACTGCCAACTAGTAAGGGTTGTCATTCAGACTCTGTCACCTCGACGGACCTGGTTTTCACCTGAGGACGGCTGCTTGCGTTGTGGCCGAAACGTCGTGAGAATAATTTTATTATGTTTTATTTTTATTATTTTATTACTTCCCTTCTACGTGACTTTACCGAAAGAACCAAGAAGAAGGGTTGTTACGTCAACAGAACGTGATGGGGGTCCGGAGTCCCCGCGAGGGTTCTGGAAGGGGGGCGTGGCCAGGGGAGTTATCAGCGGGGTCCCGAGAGGGATCGCGGCGGTCAACTCTGGGCATGAAGTGGCCATCCTCAATTCTCGGTCTCGGGTCTTCACGCGTGGACCAGGCAGCCCGCTCGCTGTCCTGGTCCGACTGTAGACTTGTGTCAGTCTAGTTGGCCGTGGTGGTCACCACCCTCTGCTGTTATCCTGTTCGAGTTGTCTTGTGGTTGTTGTTGTTTGACTTGCATCCCACTGGGATTTTTGCACACAGCGTTGGTGTGTAACGGTGTTTTTTCTGCAATATTTTTGCTGTCTTTTCTTGGATTTTCTGTTTGCACTTAGTCACATATTCACTTTAAGATGTTTTTTGTTCATGTTTTTGTTTGTTGCGGTTGCACCCGATTCAAGAGCCGAATGGCTCACAGGGCTATACCTAATAAATGAACTTGAACTTGAGTTACCCGTTGTGTTAAATCAGGGGTGGGGAACCTTTTTTCTGCCAAGGGCCAATTGGATATTTATAGCATCATTCGCGGGCCATACAAAATCATCAACTTAAAAATTAGCCTGTTACATTAGGTCAAACATTTTATTAACTCACCCCTAATGTGATGGCTGGAACTGCTTCTCTTTGGTGAGGCGTGTGACGTTAGCTGGTATTGATGATGTTGCTGCTACTCGTAACTGCTTTTCCAGGTTTGCTCCGAGATTTATTGAATTTCGAGTCCCGCCTGCGGTTGCCTTGGCAGGGCCACACCAAATGATTTCGCGGGCCTCATACGGCCCGCGGGCCGGACGTTCCCCACCCCTGTGTTAAAGAAACGTGTTGCCTCCAAGAACAAGTGTGCGCCTAAGTTAACACGCGACACACGCGCTCACGCATCAACATGCGGCGCGCACACGAAGCTAATGAACTCATCGTCGGATCCCGTCAAGGGCTTAATTTTCACTCTGCGCCGCTTAGCGCGAAGCCAAAATAAACACGGAGAGAAGTCGCGCGCCTCCATAGAAGCAAAGAACGACATTTCCCCGACAATAAGAAAAAAAATCGCTCCGATAAATAAGAATTCCATCGCTGGTGACGGCCACCTGGTCTGCGACGCCGCGGGAAAAAACGTGTCCAGTGTTTCATGTTTTGTTGTCATTATCATCATCATTATTTTGCCGTTGATCCAGGAAAAAACTACGAGCAGCTTTTAGTATTTTTGCCAGGCAAGGTTCCCGCTGAGCTTTGTAACTCGTTTTCAGAAGGGACCTGGCGACCACAAATGATGGCTCAGCGGAGTGGCTTATCATGTGGACGTTTATCGCAGCGGCCACATACTCTTTATTAACACGCGTGATGTTGATTCTAAATGTGGAGGGGGGGGGGGGACCCGGAAGATCCGGGGAAAAATCCACGCGACCACGGGGAGAGAGAGACAGACCCACAAAGTCCAAATATACAGCAGCAGCAGCAGGCGTCAGGGTCAGGATCGAACCCACGACCTCCTGTATACCAGGCGAGGGAGTTAGCATCTCCTAGCCACCGTGACAACCCTTACGCTTCACCGAGTCTCAAGGGTCATTTTCAGGAGGGTTCTGACGAAAGTTTTAGCAGTATGGAGGGCAATGCAAACAATAATAATAATAATAAAAAGAGGCTCGCGACTGCCCACGGGAACAGCCGAGCACTGAGAGTCACCGCCGCCTCCGCCGCGTGACTCCGCTAAGTTGCTCGGCGCTCGACTCAACAGCGCCCAGAGGCGTCGCGTGAGCAGAGGTCGCAACCGGGTACCCGATACCCGGCTACCCGTACCTGGCCGGGTACGGGTACCCGTTTGCGACCCTGGTGCGGCCGAGTATGGGTAGGTCGTGAGTCACTGGTGAGTAACTGTTTGTCACTCATTTCCCACCCACGCCTGCAACATGGCTTCATCCCAGAGGTCGCAATCAGGTACCCGATACCAGTACCCTACCCGTACCCGGCTGGGTACGGGTAGGGTACGGGTACGGCCGGGTACGGGTACCCGTTTGCGACCCTGGTGCAGACGGGTACGGGTACGGGTAAGGAATCAAAACCCGTTTGCGACCCTGGTGCAGACGGATACGGGTAAGGAATCAAAACCCGTTTGCGACCCTGGTGCAGACGGATACGGGTATGGAATCAAAACCCGTTTGCGACCTGTGCGCGTGAGGCTGCGTGAACGCGCAGAGCCTCGCGGCGGCCTCCAGACGGCTGTTACATTCCAGACGGCATCACGGATGTGACAATTCAAACGTGTGACGAATGCATGCGAGCAGCGTATGCGTTTTTAAACATTTACAACAAAAAAAAGCTTGCAAATTAAATCGTGTTATTCTGAGCAGACTGCAGAATGGGGAATCCGTGGTGAGGTGGGGGGGGGGGATTGGGTGGGGGGCAGAGGTCGCAAACGGGTTTTGATTCTTTACCCGTACCTGTACCCGCCCGCACCAAGGATCGCAAACGGGTACCTGTACCCGTACCCGGCCGGGTATGGGTACCCGTACGCTACCCGTACGCTACCAGAAATGAGTGACAAACGGTGACTCACCGGTGACTCACGGCCTACCCGTACCCGTACCCGGCCGCACCAGGGTCGCAAACGGGTACCCGTACCCGGCCGGGTACGGGTAGCCGGGTATCGGGTAGGGTACGGGTATCGGGTACCCGGTTGCGACCTTTGGTGGGGGGAGGGAGGTATCGGCAGGATAAGGGCGACGAGGGCGATGATGGTGATAACACCCGGCGAGACGAGGTCACGAGGGTGGCCAGGCTGGAAGAGGAGCAGGCGAGGTCACGAGGACTGCGTGAGCGAGCGGCTCACTGATCCTTCGCCGAGGTTGGGCGGGGACGTGGGGGTACAGCGTGAAGACTGAACCGTGAAATTTCACCGGCAAAGTCAATCTGCCTGATATGAATAAACACGGAGCGAGAGAGCGAGCGAGCGGGCGAGAGCGAGCGAGCGAACATCAGACGTCGACGATGCGAGCGAGAGAATATCGCCGTCGGTCGGGGAGCAAATTGAGTGAGCGGCATCATCGGGTTCGCGCTGACCAGTGCGAGCCAGTGCGAGCCAGGAGGCGCTCGCGCGAACAAGCGAAACAATGCAGAGGTGAATATTTGATGAGCGCGTTATTGTGGGGTCAGTGGGTCGACGCCCGCCTCACCGCTCAACCTGTGCGTGTGAGCGCGCGTGTGTGTGTGTGTGCGCGTGTGTGTGTGCGTGTGTGAGCGTGCGTGTGTGAGCGCGTGTGAGCGTGTGCGTGTGGCGCGATAGTGTAGCGGTTATCGTGCTGCGCTATGAACCCGGCGACACGAGTTTGATTCCCGCTCACGGCCAACACCAGTGACGATTATCTGAACCGGTCCCGGGCCTCCCCTAGGTCGACTCAGCCTCAAATGAGTACCTGGTGAGGTGTGTAAACATTGCCACTGGGGAGACAAAGGCAGCCGGGCGTGGTGCTGGCCACCCACCCCCTCGTGCACCGTTCCGGCCTTCATAGGTGCTCGCTAACAGCACTTGCCCCTACAGTCTGTTAAGGCTATATGGGGGATCTTTGTCTTTTATCTTTGTGTGAGCGAATGCGGTTGTTGTGTGCGCGGGGAGCGGTAGTGTTGTAGCGGTTACCGCTACGCTGCGCTACGGATTCGGCTACCCGAGTTCGATTCCCGCTCACGTGCCCAACACCGGTGACGATTGTCTGAACTGGTCCTGGGTCTCCCCTCGGTCGACTCAGTCTCAAATGAGTACCTGGTGCGTTGTGTAAAAACATCGCCACTGGGGAGACAAAGGCAGCCGGGCGTGGTGCTGGCCACCCACCCCCTCGTGCGCCGTGCCGGCCTTCATAGGTGCTCGCTAACAGCACTTGCCCCAACAGTCTTTTGGAGGCTACACGGGGGATCTTTGTCTTTTTATGTGCGCGCGTGTGTGAGCGAGTGCCCGTGTGCGCGTGAGTGTGTTGATGCGTGTTACCGTGTGCGAGCGAGCGAATCCATGTAATGGAGTGCGTGACGGAGCGAGCGAGTGACGGAGTGGTTGAGCGGGTGAATGGGTGTGTAAAAGGGAGTGGATGAGTAAGTGCATGAGTGAGTGGAGGATGAGTGAGTGGGTAGGTAAGAGTGAGTGGGTGAGTGCTTGGATGAGTGGTCAGTTGAGTGGATGAGTGAGTGGGTAATTGAGTGAGTGAGTGAACAAGTAGGTAAGAAATTTTAAGAAGTGTAAAACGATTTGATGCATGCGTGAATGAGTGGGCGAGGAGGTGAGTGGTTGGTATGGAGGTTGAGTAAGTGGGTAAGGGGCAGTGAATGAGTAAGTGAGTGAATGAGTAAGTGAGTGAATGAGTAAGTGAGCGAGCGAGCAAGTGGATTGGCAAGTGGTTGGTTGTGCAAGGAGGTACACAACTCAGTGGATGAGCAAGTGAAACATTGAGCGTGTGAGTGTCTAAATAAGTGAGTGGGTTAGCAAATTGGTCAACTGAGAAGGTGAGCAGGCGTGCGAGTGAATAATTGAATGAATAGACGGTTGAGAGAGTGGGCGAGTTAGTCACTGAGCAGCTGAGTGAGTGAATTGGCGAATTGTGCGAGCGTGTGAGTGAATGAGCGATCGGGTGAGTGAATGAGCGAGCGAGTGGGCGGGCAGGCGAGCGAGCGGGCGAGCGGTCGGCTGAGCAGCTGAGTGGAAAAGCAGCTGAGTAGGTGACGAACCGAACCTGGAGGGCGGCGGAAGCGAGTTAGCCGTTGAGCAGATGCTTGAGCAAGCAAAGCAGGGGAAGTTGATTTAGTGAGCTGGCTGGTCAAGTGAGCGACTGAGCGAGCGAGCGAGCGTGAAACGGGCGGGGAAGGGGGCGAGTTGGGGAGGGATGGCGAGTTGCGGTGGGGCGGGGCGATTTTGGGGGGGCAAGTTGGGGGGCGGGATGGGGGGCTCGCACCGTCACGTGCACCGCCGGCTTCTTCCGCTGCGCGAGGTCGATCACGTTGACGCCGTTGTACATGACGTTCTCCAGGCACCCGCGGAAGAAGCGATTGGCGGACGGGCCAGACTTGCCCGCTCCGGGCATTCCGCCAAAGCTGACCTGCGTGCGGGACACGCGCACGCGCGACAACGTTTCCCGCGCGTTCGTAACAAATAAAGACCGATTCGTTACGGAGGAGTGAATTGGGGGGGCGGGGGGGGGACGAACGAACGTCGTGCCGCTCTTCCCACGTGCAGTTGTGCAAGGGCGCCGTCATATCCGACCACGTGACCCGGCACGTGGTGCTGGAGCATCGCGTCAACTCACCCACCCACCTGTTCGCTCACTCACCCACCGACTCACCCACCAACTCACCCACCCACCTGTTCACTCACCCCCCCCCCCCATCATCCTTCCGCTCCCCACCGACTCACCCACTCCCCCACCGACTCGACTCACCTGGAAGTCGAGGTCCAGGTAGTCGAAGTCGCCGTTGGTGCGCGCGTGGCGCGAGTGTCGGTCCACGGTGAGGTTGACGTAGCGGCCGTGGCGGTGCACGCTCACCGCGTGCCAATGCTCGTCGTCGAGCAGGTTGCCCGCCGACACGAGCGTGTGGCCGCTCACCCCTCGGGACGCGCTGCTGCCTGCGGGCGAGGGCACGCGGGGTGCGGGCGAGCGGGCGGGCGAATGGGTGGGTGAGTCGGGTGGGTCGGTGGGCGAGTGGGTTGGTGAGTTGGTGGGCGAGTGGGTGAGTGGGTGAGTGAGTGGGTGAGTGGGTGGGTGAGTGGGTGAATGAGTGGGTGAGTGGATGGATGGGTGAGTGGGTGGGTGAATGGGTGAGTGAGTGGGTGGGTGAGTGGGTGAATGAGTAGGTGAGTGGGTGGATGGGTGGGTGGGTGAATGAGTGAGTGGGTGGGTGAATGAGTGAGTGAATGAGTGAGTGAGTTAGTGGGTGGGTGAGTGGGTGGGTGAGGATGTGAATATTTTATCGCACCTCCGATGGGCACGGTTACCTACGTACGGTGCGGAAGAAGTTCAACAAATGTGGGCGACTAAAACACAGCAAGTTGGCACAGTGGGGAGCACAGTTGGTACATCTGACAGTCATCTCAGTCAGTCAACCCATGGCACTCGGGTCTGTTCCGTGACTTCCTGGCGGCGGACCTTCGACGCTTCACGTGGCCTCAAAGTGCACCTAGCATGGCACAAGCTCCTCCGTGGTGACGTCACCGCCACTTAGTGGTGAACGGCGGTTGTTGTTATGTGCGTGGGTGAATGAGTGGGTGTCTGTGCGGCCGGGCGTGGTGCTGGTCACCCACACCCTCGTGTGCCGTGCCGGCCTTCATAGGTGCTTGCTAACAGCACTTGCCCCTACAGGCTGTTAAGGCTACAAGGGGGGGTCTTTGTCTGAATGTGTAGGTGAATGAGTGGGTGGGGAGTGAAGTGTGGGTATGTGCGTAGATGTATAAGGGAATATCATAACCAGTTCTGGGCCTCCCCTAGGTCGACTCAGCCGTAAGCGCGTACCTGGTGCGGATGCGTATGAAACATCAGCAGAAGGTTGGCAAACAAAGGCGGCCGGGCGTGGGTGCTATAAAGACAAAGATCCCCCGTATAGCTTGAACAGACCGGTGGGGCAAGTGTCGTGAGCGAGCACCTATGAAGGCCGGCACGGCACACGAGGAGGCGGTTGGACAGCACCACGCTACGCCACCTTTGTCTCCCCGGCACTCGCTAACACCATTTGCCCTCCCCACCCACCAGCCTGTTAAGGCTTTAGAGGGGGCAAAGGTTGTGGCGTCGGTGGGTGGGAAGTGCGGGTAAGATGGGGGGGGGTAGGAGTGTGGGTGATATTTGTCTTTGTAAATGTGGCGCGCGCGAGCGAGCGTGTGTGTGTGCACTCACGCAGAGGGCCTCGGAAAACAAAAACTAAAAACCCAGACGGCACTCGCGGGAGCCTCTCGCTGACATTAAACGCGACATGAAAAGCTGTTTCATGAAAAAGGACTTCGCACTCCGTGGAGCTGTCTGCTGCTACGCGCTGCGCGGACCGCTCGGGGCGATGGCACCGCAAGACGCCAATAGCGGCGGCGGCGGCGGTACCCGCGGACCGCTGAATGTGCAGAACGCTCCTCTCGGTTGAATTCATCCGCGCGATTAAAAAAAAGAAATAAAATAACAAAATAATAAGAAAAATGAAAAATAATCACCCGTGAAATTTCGCAGTTTAAGACGCATTCGCTCCCCGATACTCCACCCACCCACCTCACCGCCCACAACAACCACCAACCCCCCCCTTCCCCCAGGACCCTCAAACGCTTTGATCATCATCACCCGCATCTTTGCCAGATTTCGGGTTTTTTTGTTGTTGTATACATTTAAAATAAATAGGTTTTTTTTCGCGAATTTTTTTATGGAAATAATCCCAGCGGTGAGACTTCTAAAAATTGTTGGACAAATACCGGAACACTGTGACGCGTGGAGGGACACTGCGATGATGTTAACATCAGAATATTGATTTAGACTACAGGAGGAATCCGATAGCTATAAAGCTCTTTTTCCACAGGTGTCCAGTTTAGGGCACGCGGGTTAAAACGTCACAATAACAACCGATACAAAAAGCACTATAAGTGTATAGGAGAGGTAAGTAAATCACTAAATATATGTACAGATAAAACTGAAATATTTGATTTAACCAGGTAAAGCCCATGCACTGACTGAGCTCGCTTCTTATTTCAGAAGTAACCTGGCCATAAAAATGAGGGCCCAACGAAGTGGCTTATCGTCTGGAAATTTATAGCATCCAAATACGTTGAACGCACGTATCCATCACTGCCACCATTATCGGTGCCCTTATCATCAATGCCATTGCCAAGATTGTCATCATCTCCATCACCGCCACTGTCATCACCTCCATGGTCATCATCAGTATCATCATCGTCGTCGTCGTCGTGAATTAGTTTGACTTGCATCCCACTGGGATTTTTGCACACAGGGTTGGTGTACGGTGTTTTTTCTACAATATTTTGCTGTCTTTTCTTGGATTTTCTGTTTGCACTTAGTCACATATTCACTTTAAGATGTTTTTTGTTCATGTTTTAGTTTTTTTGTTTGTTGCGGTTGCACCCGATTCAAGAGCCGAATGGCTCACAGGGCGATACCTAATAAATGAACTTGAACTTGAAGCGCGGCTCCCATGCGGTGCACCTCGAGGCGTCGGCACAAAGGTGGCAGTTGAGATCATTGCACGGCACGGGGAGCGACCGCAAATCCAAACAGAATGTTCGAGAACGGTACAGCGCAGGCACCCAGCGCCAAAGCAGAGCGCTGAAGAGCTAATCCACGTTCTGTCCATCACCACTATTGTACTCACCGTCACCGATGCCATCATCATCATCACCATAATCATCATCGCCGCCGCCATCATCATCGCCATTCCTCCAGAGTTAAATAAAATCGGTACCACACAGTGGGAGGAGGAAAATTTTTTTAAAGGGTCATTATTCAATGCCCCGCGGAGGAAATGGCCTCGTGCGCTCAGGGAGCGAATTCCAATTCGACGGCTGGCACGTCGCCTCCCTCCCTCCCTCCGCATTAAAGACACGACCAGCGGAGTGATCGTAACCGAACGTCACAACACCAATGTCGTTACCAGCACTACCGCCACCGCCACGATGCTCGCAACGGCTTGCGCACTAGGCCGACGACCCAAAAGCCGGGTTCGAGCCCATCTGCCCGCGGCGCGGCAAGTTGACAACCGAACGAAGGGGTGGCCACGTTTCTTAACCCCCCCTCCCCTCCTCTCCCCCCGCATCCCATCAACGGCTTACAATCGGTGGGTCGCGTGCGATGGGGTAAAGTGTGGGTAAGGCCTTGGTCACGTGGCTTTGTTTTGTTGATCTCTGGGTCCTCCGGTTTTTTGTTCTCCACCCCACCCCCGCCCCCTTCGCATTGAGATTATTTAGAATGATTTTGAGCGATCATTTGTGGTAGCCAGGTCGATTGTGGGGGGAAAACATACGTTAATGCTATCTCACCTTTCTTGTACTTTGCACTCCAATCGTGTTGCTGTTGTGTTTGTTGTTGTTGTCACGTGATTACCCCGTGCCCCAACTGGACATCTGTGAAAAAAGAGCTTTATAGCTCATCGGATTCCTCCAGTCCGATACTGACGTCTACCCTACGTAGGGGGTGCCCCCCCCCCCCACCCTAGACTTAGAGCCCTCTTTGTTGTGAGTGGAAGGGCCATCCGCCAGCAGTGTGGTGAACAAGTTATTGCAGGTCTGCTCCTTTACTTTCTACTTTTTTTCTTACATTATAATCATCATCCTCATCATGAAAACAGGCGATTGTGAAAATGAATGAAGGAAAGACATAATGAATAAATGAATGCTGCCCCGGTGTGCTGGTCACTCAACGCTCCCGAGTGCTGAAACGGACTTGGGGGCAAGAAGTGAGAATTTGTAAAAAGGTCACAGATCCATTAGTCGTGCTGCTCTCCGCCTAATGCAGCCTCGATCATCGCGGCTCGTCTGGGGAGCGCCGGGACGGGGAGCAGAGCGCAGGGACGGGTGGCGAACGAGGCAGGGCGGTCAGAGCTTGGACGTTAAACAATGGGGGAAAGACGAAGCGTTTAATTGTTTTTTATTTGACCACGTGAGCGAAAAGAGGTCTTTGGGCAGAAGCAACCTGGCCACCAACAATTGTAGCTCAACGGAAGCGGCTTATCGCGTGGAAATGTATAGCAGTCGAAATACTCTAATAAACGGGTGTTGATTGTAAATGTGGAGGGGGGAAATTTAACCGGAGGACCCGGAAAAAAAATCCATGCGACCACGGGGAAAGAGAGAGAGAGACACGCAAACTACAAATATAGAGCAGGCATCGTCAGGGTTGGGATCGAACCCACGACCTCTTGCATAGCAGGCGAGGTAGTTAACATCTCCTAGCCACCGTGATGACAACGATGAGAGAGAGAGAGACACGCATACTCCAATTATACAGCAGGCATCGTAAGGGCTGGGATCAAACCCACGACCTCCTGCATAGCAGGCGAGGTAGTTAACATCTCATAGTCACCGTGATGATGATGATAATGATGAGAGAGAGAGACACGCAAACTCCAATTATACAGCAGGCATCGTGAGGGTTGGGATCGAACCCACGGCCTCTTTGTCCACCCGGCGAGGCAGTAAACATCTCGTAGCCACGGTGGCGCCCTAAGCCGGAATCCGCGTGACGAGAACGCGGTCACCGACTCGCAGCGCCAGCTGTCGACGTCACAAAGGAGCGGGCGGGCCGGGCCGTCCGCGTCACTCGACCACGTGATACGCGAGAGCTCGGAAACTCCCCCAGCCGGCACGTGCGGGCTGACGGTGAGCTCCGCCGTGGGTCGACGAGCGGCATTTACAAACAACAACGACGGCCCCTTCGCTGCCGCCGCCGCCGCCGTTACCCGGAGTGGTGAAGTATGTTTCGATTTAAAGCTTTCGTGACTGCAGGGATTCATCTTCTTGGTTCTTTCGGTAAAGTCACGCATTTCACAATTAGCACTATTCGCATTCCTGCATTTCCCATAAATATGCTAAATTCCTCTTCAAATGCAAATTATTTTGTCAAGGCTCTCTTCCTCCTCCCTCACAGC